AAAATATAATTGTAGCTCATATAATTGTTGAATAAAAACACGTTTGAAAGTATTCTTCCCCCTCTCAAAAAAATAAACAATCCACGCACAAAGCTTATGAATTCTGCAGATTTTTATTTGCTATAATTAGTTTTTCACTGCAGCAGCAAAGACGGCAGAGTTGCCAATTCTGTCAAGAGCAAAATGCTTCGAGAAAACTTTAATTTTTTTTGTTCGCGATATTTTCAGCAAATACGGGAAAGGTTGGAGACGCGCGTGTGTCAATATAAGTCAGCAACACTTTTTGTAATGGAAATGAAAACATTGTCCGAGAAATTTCATAAAAATTGTACGAGTATAAATTTTTCTAACAGATCAATATTTTGAGACTTCACAATAAATAAGGGCTCTGATTTACCCTCAAAACGACAAATAAGCTATTTGCTGAATTAATACGTATGTTTTGGTTGAACAAGACAAGAATAACTGTTATGCCAAAGTAATATACATGCACAGACTTCATTTCATAAATTATATCATTGCCTTCGACGTTATTTAATTTTTCAGTGTTCAGAATGGCTAAATCACCGAGGTATATAGTACAGTATCTTTAAATATTCTTCCATAATTTTCTAATTCAAAATGCGACAAATAACACGTTGTTTAAGACTTAATCCTATGAAATGAATCTGTTCTCAAGATTTTCTTTCTTTATTTGGTTTTTTCTGTACAAAATTAAATGAATAGAAAGATAAGTATCGAAATTTTGCCAGCGAAATAAGTTCTTCCATCAGCGTTCAATAAGGTTTTATTTTTTTTTTGGTTGCTATAAATTGAATCAGCTCATCTGCTGCAATTACACACATTCTACCACGATTCTCTTACTTGAAACCTAAAAGGTGAAGGTATTCAAGTTTATGATGTCGAAAAAGATGAAGAATCAAACCTGATCCTATGACTTGAACCCGTGTTTAATATTTTTTAGACTCAATCCCGTAACCGAGATCTCTTTTTGAAATTTTATTTTGCTGCTCGTTTATTTTCTATCTGATATTAATTCAATAGAAATACGATTATCGTAATTTCGACAGCGCAATAAATTCTTCCATCGTTCGACAAGTTCTTTAATTTTTGGTGGTTCAACATGAAATCAACGCTTTTGCATCATACTGTATAAACATTCTCTAGCAGTAATACAATTTTCTAATTTTAAATATGAAAAATAAATACATGATGTCGTATATACGCGTTCATCGCGTCGAAAAAGAAAAAAGAATCAAACCTGATCCCACATAATGACACGAATCTGCTGTGTTTATAATGTTTTACCTAAATGCAAAATTAAATCAACAGAAAAACAATTTTCGTGATTTCGCCAGCGAATGAATCATGATTCCGGTCGTAGTCCGGGTCGCATTTTTTGGGTCGCTTTTCCTGTGCTTCGTAGCGTCGAAGCCGTTAGACAAACAGCCGTCAGCTGCTGTTGAAGCTGAAGCCGTTGCTGCAGACGAGGACCCGTTTCCTGATCGTGAGTGTTTTGCTTTGTCTGCCAAATATTTTCTCATCCCCCTTCACCTTTTTTTCTATTTCAAGAGGAGCGAATCCTTTTTCGTCTTCTTTTAATTCGTGTATGCTTTCTGTACGAACAGCATGAAGACGAATGAGCCACTCGAGATGTATATACAGTACAGTACACGTGTTTCCCACCCCCCTTTTTTTTGGGTNACGAGGACCCGTTTCCTGATCGTGAGTGTTTTGCTTTGTCTGCCAAATATTTTCTCATCCCCCTTCACCTTTTTTTCTATTTCAAGAGGAGCGAATCCTTTTTCGTCTTCTTTTAATTCGTGTATGCCTTCTGTACGAACAGCATGAAGACGAATGAGCCACTCGAGATGTATATACAGTACAGTACACGTGTTTCCCACCCCCCTTTTTTTTGGGTCCTCGGACCGACAAATTTCCATACAAATTTTTGCGAACTGGCGAAGTATCGGAAAATTTTTTCAGACTGAAAAAAAATGTTGCTTGAAAGACAGGTATTAGAAAATTTTATGCGAAAATTGAATTAAGAGCCAATGAAGCAGCTGTTATGATGGGATATCTTCAGAAAATCAGAAAGGTGGGCTTGAAGAAAGGTTTCTCTTCGGAATGAAAATTAAAATAAGCTCTTTCAGCAAATGAAAGTGTGTCTGAAGTGTTATTAGGAGAAACGCCAGCTTTCCTTTTTCATCAGTTTATTTCAACTGTCATTGTCTTTCAGAAATTTGAGATGACGATAAAAATTCATAGCTAATTTAAAAAAAATCAGTTACGCTAAAGAAAATTTCTCGGCCTGGTCGTTTTTTGAAGAGGCCTGGCCACGGCCAGGCGTCTTTTAAACATACCTTGTCATTTAAATGTATTTTACTATCACGTGATGGTGTTACCATCACGACAATGTCACGACAACTTATTTTATGTATTTACTTATTATGTATATATAACAACTTACTATATTTATTATCATTTTATGTAAATATAATTTTATGAAACAGTACTGTAACAGCACTATCATTTTATGCAAATATAAAATGATGGACGACGATTTAGAAAAAGGGGGAAGAAGAGTTTCTCCCCCTTCCCCCCCACTAGTTTTGAATCTTTCTGTGCATTTTTTCTTGACGATGTTTTTGTTTGTAGCACCCGACTAGCTTAAACTCCTCCACTTTTTTCCGGACCTTCTAGTTTGTAACTAACACTAACTACAAGCGCCAGCCCTCGGACACGCTTTTGCGCCGGACTAAGGGCCGTCAAAAGTATAAGGGACACTCATGTTCGATGAGATCGAGTGAGTGAGGCAATAAAGTCAATATTTCATAATAAATACCTCTATCACATTTCGTATAATAGGCTTATATATACCTTAGCTTGCAACCAAAGTTTTGATTTTTCAAAGTTTCAAAGAAAAAAATCAACCGGAGCCTTCCCAGATAACGCGGCGTGTAATCAGTTTAAGCTGGGAGAAATTCGCGGTTTTTTTCCAAACAAGTTACTGAAAAAATATAATTATTTTGCGAAGTACATTATTCACAAATATCTACTGAAATTGGTGAATACGGTGGTGATCATTTTCCAGACAGAATTATAGTCTGGGAAATAATCAAAGAATGTTTGAATGTCCAGAAATAAATTTAAGTTCAAGAGAAGCGGAAGTTTTTGACAGAACCACGTAAATCATTCACGTTTAAAAAAATAAGTTAATGAACGCTATAAAACATTCACAAATATTTACTGAAGTAGATAAATGAGGTGGTGCTCATTTACCAGAAAGCATTATACAGTAGTAAAAAAAAAATCCAGGAATCTAGAAGGTCCAGTAATAAATTCAAGTACAAGGAAAGTGATTGTCAACGTTTGTCAGAACAACTTGAATCATTAAAAATATGAATTCTGCTGCAAAATATTCAAAATTTTTTATTGAAATTCGTGAATGATGTGGTGTTCATTTTCCGGACAGCAGTTTATAGTCCAGAAAAAAAATCTAGGAATTTTCAGAAAAAAATTAAGTTCAAGAAAAGCGATTGTAGGAATCTGGCAGAGCCACGTAAATCATTCAAGTTTTTCTTTGAAAAAGTCACTGAAGAAAGATGAATTTTGCGGCAAAATATTCACAAATATTTGAAGAAATTGATGACTGCTGACTGCTGTGGTGGTGATTTTCCTGACAGCATTATTACAGTACAATATGATCAAAATTCAAGGAATGTTAAATGAATGTTGAGGATTGATTTCAATTTCTCGAGAAGCTTGGCAGAGCCACGTAAATCATTCCCAGCTATTTATGCGATTTAATTTAAGCATTACGAAGAATCTGACTTTAAAAATTCAAAATAAAAATGAGGCACATATATTATTTCATCGAATTCTTTTTTATAGTTGCAAAAATTGAAGATCGAAAGCAGTTAAATGGGTCGTTGCTAAAGAGGCTTTATATGCCGAAGTTAGCAGGTCTCTTCGGCCCAAGTTTACAACAGTATTGGACGGTGTTTCCGTCTAATAGCTCTTTGCGTTAGAATCGGATGAACAAACATGGCTACACCGAATTACGGTAAGTTTTGATGGTCAGTACGGCAATTAAATTACACTAATGGGTTATGAAATGATGCGTTCTTTTGTCAGGAAAATAAAATATCAAACGCAATTGAGAATTGAAAAAATAATAACCTGAGTATACGAGGTGACATAATTTCCTGAAATTTACAACAACAAAACATCGTGAAAGCGCATTAGCCAGGACGATAATCAAATATACAGTACTGAAAATTTTAATTCCCTGAATAAAAATACTGTCAACGCTTCTGCTGAAGATTCCATATTTTCTTATTGATGACGTACTGCGTTATTCCTGATGCTCATCGAATCGATGATCTTTCTCGTGATATTATTTATCGATCAGAACAAACGGAACAGAACAATCAGAACAAACGGAGGCTTTATTTTTGTTTACGTAATGATCCCACAAAGGTTTGGAAGATCCTGACTCATGAGCTTGGGCACCCAAAAAAAAATTTATTTCGAAGTACTGACAAAACTCTTGGACCATCCCGCGTACTTCTGTTCGTATTCTTTTCTATTCTTCCATGGAATTCTGAAATAATAAAATATACTGAAAATTTTAATTCCCTGAATAAAAATACTGTCAACGCTTCTGCTGAAGATTCCATATTTTCTTATTGATGATGTACTGCGTTATTGCTGATGCTGATCGAATCGATTATCTTTCTCGTGATATTATTTATCGATCAGCGTGTACGAAATGTCCGATAAGAGGATGAATAAAAAATGAGTTGACTCAAAATTGTAAATGTCCTTCGTCCGTTTCCCCCCAATGAAATTAAAATTTTGTGCAGACAATAATACCAACTGTACACTACAGTACTTTCAATCAAATCCCTGTAGCAATCGTGGTTCAATTGTCGACTGGAAAAGAGGGCAGTAAAACGTCCCTAAATCGCTTTCCTTATACCGTGATTATTATCACGATGGATGAAATATTAAGGTGGTACAAGGGCGGTTTCTTGGACTGGATGCAACACAACGGCACTTCTGTTTTAACCTCGACGGACTCTCCGACCGAATTGGAAGAAGTCATCAGTTCCGAAGCAGCTTCTGCGGATCTGACAACTGATCCTGTTGAAGGCGAAGGAGCACTTGAAAACTCGAGTGACTCATCGACAGCAGTCGAAGAAAATGAAACCCCACCTTCAGCCGCTGCTGCGAAAGACCTCACGGAATTCATCAGTAAGTTAATTTTATTTCATTTATTCAATCACTGATTTTTTTTCTTGAATATTCGATTCACATACGTGTCCATCGAAGTACAGTAGTAGTTTCTTCTAAAAATAAAAAAATAAACTCACGAAAATTGTTGAATTATCTAGTGTTCCTGAACCCGTGGTCCGCGGACAGACGCAGGTTCGCAGAAGTTCTTTTGACAGTCCGCAGGAAATTTTCAGCATAACACATTTATTAAAAATAGCAATGAACTCTATTATAATTATCTACAAATTTGGAAAGACAATGGCAGTTGAAATCATTTGATGCAAAATAAAAGTTAGCTCTTTTCCTAATAACACTTCAGACACATTTTTACCTGCTGAAACAAATTATTTTAATTTTTATTTCTGATGAGAAACCTTTCTTCAAGCCCACCTTTCCAAATTTTTGATTTTTGCAAGAAGCACATATACTGTTTCATACCAGCTGCCATGAAGCCTATGAAGCAAAATTTTTTATAGTCTGTAAAAATTGTATGAAACTTGTGCTGGTCCGCAGAACATTTTTCAGGATTTTTTTTGTCTGCAAAAATGTTTATGGAAATTTGCTGGTCCGCAGGCTCAAAAAGGGTTGGGAACCCTGCAAATGTCAGTCGGGTGACCATCAAATCCTCTTATAATACATATTGGTCCAATTCTAAAATAGTAAAGTAATATCACGTTAATATTTTAGAATTTGACCAAAATGTATTCGGCGAACAAGTTTTGTTATAGCATGCTATATGTTCTATTTTTTTGCCTAATTAAGTCGCCAGCGTGGGTTTTATGCAATATTGCATTAAACCCATGCTGGTGACCAAATTAGGCAAAAAAGAGAAAATGCAACATGCTATAATAAAACGTATAACAAATTTCTAGCGAATTTTGCCGGTCTCCGTGGAAAAAGAGTCAAACGCACCTTTTAATTTTTAAAATGCAGCGGGGTATATTTTTCTCTTCAGATGCTGTATTTTCTCCAAGAAATTAACAGTGAATTTTCCACGCAATTCCAAAATTGAAATTTGTGAAAATTATGAACAATCACAATAACGCGACTTCAGAATGAAATCCTTATTCTTTTCGTTCCTCCATCACTCTCGTTCCAAATATGCTTGTATCCTCGGGTTATCGCCGATTTAAACTAATAATTCAGGAACAAAATAAGCTAAGGACTTCGGGCGTTAAATTGAAAAGAAACCTGATGATTTTTCTTTCGCAGAAATCGAATTTAGCGAACTCAGGAACGAGTTGAACAGTGGGAAATATGCGATCTTCGACGTGCGGCCTCAGAAAATGCTCAAGAGCTTCGGAGCGATTCCGGGCAGCTGCAACGTGCCTTGCAAGTTTAAAAATTTAAAAACAAACTGTATTACATCTTCATCCAAATCACTTTTTTAATTCATTAAAAACTATATTTGCGCAGTTCACGACTTCGAATCGGCGTTTCAGTCCTTCAGTCCCCCCGAGTTCAGCGAAAAATATGGCTGCGAACGTCCGGAAAAGCCCGGAAGCAACATCGTGATTTACAGCAACAACAGAACCAGCGCTCAGGATGCGATGGCAGAGCTTCATCGATTCGGCTACAATGAAGCAATGTAAGTCGATTACTGTACAGTATGTCATTTTTTGTGTTTGAGAGACCTACGTAATTTCTGGAATGACAGACAGGTGTCGCCTAAATCCCTCACGTGCATGGCTTAAAATAACTGAACAAAATCCTTATTTTCGGTCCATGTTGAGAAATCTCGCTGTGATCTCTTATCATTATTAATCAAGATTAAATCAATCAATAAGAATTTAGAAAACTTTAGTAAACCGGCCAAGGTGCTCTAACCGTCTCCTCAAATATTTACTCGCTTTGCTGACCATCACATTGTTTTTGATTCACCTTTTATTCGCAAAAAATTTAATATCATTCAATTTTCCTTTTCAAATTAATTTGAACTTCGTCCCCATGGATATCTGCAAAAAAGGTAGAATAATTTGATTGATCAAGGACATTATGTATTTTACAGTGAAACATGGCTTTACAAAATTGCTGAGTTGCACATTTTTAAATTGTTACAAAATAAATCTAGAGATCCCTATCTCGAAAATATTGTATATCCAATCCAAGCCTAATCTAAACTAAGCTGAAATAACCTAACAAAGCACATTGCTTCCCCAGAATTAGAGCTATCGAAGTTCAACGAAGAGGCGACCTCTATCCCATGACAGGGAAACGCATGGCGTTCAGGACAGTATGCAATGAAGTAAAAAGAGGATCATATGAATCCCCGCAACAATAAATAAATGAAACACTGTACTGCATAAGGAAAGGACGCGTGGACTTGAAAAAAATTAAACTCGTCAATAATGAAATGCAAATTTTTGCAGAATGTACGATGGCGGATTAGCAGATTGGACAACTAATGGAGGTTCTCTTCAGTTGAGCGGTTCGACGGAAGAAAAAGAACCTGAAGGTGCGTGTTTGGAAATTCGAGAACAAAATTCGAAACGAAATATTCAGTAGAAATTTTCAAAAACCCCAGGATTGTATTCCGGTATAACAGAACTTGCACTTGAATGGGACGAGATAACGATTTGACTCAATCAATCGAGATAGTATAAATGTTTCAAAAATTCTCCACGGTAGTATTCCTTCGAAAATTATCTTCTCATCCCGTTCCACTCGATGGGTACGCGTACTAGTCAAACCGGCACTTTTGATTGCAAAATGTTTATGCCCTAGAAATTTCTGCTTCGACGAGGTGCACAACCATGACGATGATAAGTGATCTCAAGAGCAGCTTTTTTTTGCGATGAACGGAAGCCTTGAAATTTTATCATGTTGTCGCCCACGCGTAAAATAATCAAGATTTTGCTATAAAAAAGCAAAATCGAGTTGCAATCCAACATATGCAATATTATAATTGCATGTTAACGGGTAAACTACTGCTTACCAATAATTCTCAAGCAATTTCGGTTTATCGTAGGATGAACGTGGTTTGATACCAAAGCAAAGTCGGGTTTTTTCTTAGGCTGCTCGGATTTTCTAAGATTTACACAGATAAGCGGACTCTTCGTAGATAGAGTTTGTACATTAACTAATAATTTCTGCCCAGCATTAAATTCCCATCAAGATAAATTTGTAGCACCGGAAAATATATTTTTTTAATTCCACATGATTTCATGCAGCCATAAATGACGAATCCTTTTCTACAGGCGTCATCAATGTTCTTGGAATACTGAACAATAAGTCATCTTTTTGTAACGGCCTAATATTCAGTTTTTCCAAGCTTTTGAGTATAAGAGTCCTCAAAACCACATCAGGGGAAAAACAAGAATTGAGACGATTAAGCATCTGTTTAAGGTGCAATTTTCTTTTCAATTGCTGCTAAACAAAAATGCAAAAATAAAATTATTATTTTTTGAAAGTAGTTTGCCAGATCGGGCTCCCATCCTGTTGATGTGATTTTGAAATCGTTGTTGAAATATAAATTATTATTTGATCTTTTCTTCGAGAAACTCATTCCCAAAATCACGGTGTTCCGAAAATTATTCAAAAATCCGCGAGTATGCTGGGTTTTTTTCCTGTTGTGATTATATCATACCTGACTTTTTTTCCAGTGCCAGTAATAACGTCAGAGGATCTGAAAAAAGGGCTCGACGCTGACGCCCTGACGTTGATCGATGTTCGGAACGAAACAGAGATCGTGGCAGACGGAAAAGTGCCCAAGAGCCACAACGTGCCTTGTACGGATACTTCAGCTGACACTTTCCAATTCATCTTTGTTTCACTGAAACTCGATGCTGTTTGTTCTGTGCATAATAATATGTCTCTTTCTTTTTGTCAGTGCCGGAAATTTTCGAAGCATTCAAGTTGCCAGAAGAGGAATTCGTCGCCAAGTACGGATTCAAACGACCTCCGCCACCCGGAGATGACGTGGTCATTATGTGCAGAAGCGGGAGACGTGCTTTGAATGCGATTGTATTACTGCGTTCCTTGGGATACACGAACCTCATGTGAGTCTATTTTTCATCCATAAAGTAGAAAGAAGTAACTACAGTATAATTCCAAAACATTTTGAAAAAATCCCGAAACACAGTACAGTATTCTCATCAGTTACATATACTGTACTGAGTCTTTGATTTTTCAAAATTAATTCCTCATTAACCCTTGTGCAGCAAAGTTGGGATATTTTTGCAAACTTTTGTGCCCATGAGCACTGAAAATTTAAAAAATGATTTTTGTGCCAATAAAGACCTGAGTTTGGAAAAAGTCCAATATTTTTTTTAATCCTGCAGAAAAATTTGCTCGAAAAAAATCCTCTCTGCTGAGTGGCGTTTTTCAGGAATTCATTGCATAGGATTAGCATATATGAGTTAAAAAAAAGGATTCATCCTTGCCAGGTTTTTCCTGACTTAGACCTTCCCAGCCTGGGTGCCTTTCATGGACCTTTGGTTAAACTGGAATGCAATGCCCAAAAAAAAAACTCTCAACTTTGCGGCAGGATGACCAGCAGGGACCCTCCACTTTCCAAGAATTACAATTTTTACAGCTTATATGAACAGATAGCTTTAGAGGGGTGGAATGTAGGAGGGGCTACCATTAATTCTTTTATTAATGACAATTCCTTGAAATAAGTTTATTTCTGAGTTCAGAAACAAATACAGGTGCTATGGTAACTTGAAATTTGACCTCCTGCAATTTGTCCATCCCGCAATTCAATGGTCAAATTTTCTGGGAGGTCAACTTGCAATTTGACCTAGGCCCCATACAATTCAACCCAAAGAGATGAGCAAAAACGTCAAATACAATTCAGAAAACATTGCATTTGATGTTGCTGCACAGTTTGACTGTTTTGCAATTTGAACCCAGTCCATGCAATTAAGGCATTGACCTTAATGCCCAGTCCCAGTGCATCAAGGTCAAATTGCGGGTCACCACCTGTATTGTACTCAATTCCAACAAATATTTTTTTAAAAGGCCCAAAATGTATTCTGAAGATGCATATTTTATTTTTTGTAATTAATCCCGTAATTAAAAAAATTCTCACAGCAGCTTATGCGCTGAGAGCTTTTTCAGGGTTGGGCAATAAGAGCAGCTACCAATAATTCCTTACTTAAATAACAGAGTCATTCGAATAATTTATATTTATGCAGAAACAAATATAGGTGGACTCTCTATATACAACGATCTTTTCTAAAACTATTTTCTCTGTGAACTACGAATTTTTTTGTCCCTTGAGTTTCCTTGTATAGAGAGAGAGTCCACCTATAATCCCCACAAATACACAATTTTTTTCATCTCCCAAAATATTTATGCTCCGTCGCGTATTGAATTGTTGCAATTAATCTGGTGATGAAAAATTACCCCAAATTTCTGTATTCCCAGTTACGGTTTTAATCCTTCGTAAGTTCTTTCCGTTATTAAAAAAAAATATTTCACAGCTTATACGCAGATAGCTTTAGAGGATGGACAAGCAGAGGGTACCAGTTCCTCCACAGCGGAATCTTGGAGTCCACGTCAGACTACAGCACAGCAGGCGAGGAAGAAAAAGTATCACCAGTCCCACTGATAGCTGCTGATTGCTTCGAATTAAACTTGCGTATTCGGGATCTCCCTTTTATCCAGACTATCAAGAGATTTTACTTATACATGCTTGAAAAAAATTGTGATCTAAAAAAAAAATGCCGATGTCAATGACGCTTTCTCCACGATACTTTCTATGCGGTATAACAGTTATTGCGTCCATTATTCATCAAAGAAATTTGTCATAGAAATTATAGTATTCTGTAGATTACCTGCGGTTGTTCAAATGGTAGTGTAAAAATACAAGGAAAAACCAATAATGAATTTTTGGCGAGAAAATTTTTAAAGTTCGTTTTTATTCAAAAGATTTTGTCTACCTTATTTTTTTTTACCGAATTTATGTCTTTCCATTCCATGTTCAAGTACGCATTACAGCTACAGTATTTCTGTCTATCCTTGATCTTGAGCATAAATAGGCCACACCCCGATTTTGGGCAGGTATTTTAGAGTGCTGCCGCCTGCAGTACGGTATGCATAGGCCACGTATTAAAAATTACAAATTTTGAAAGGAAAAATATGACTGAAGAGGGAACATACAGTCATCAAAAAGTAATTGCATTAGGTCCTGAATTCGATTATATATGGTGATTCACGAACTTTGGTCTACATTCATTTACTCACTTCGGATGAAAAAAGTACCAGAATTGCTGTGGGAGAATTTCAATAGCGACCGTTTCTTCATTATATTTTAAGTTTTGTTTTACTAGATATTCTTTCTTGGAAATCATCTTGAATATATATAGGCCGCATCTTTTAGTCACTGCGTAGTATGCGGAATAAATACAGTGAGACCCCAAGATGCGGACATAATTGGTGCATCAAGAGTGTCCCTAAGTAGAATTGTCCCTAAGTTGAGTCTTGTTTTCCCATAGACTTACAGTATATAATTTTTAATTGGTATTTTATGGGAGAAATATCCTTCAGAATTCCCTGAAAAAAATTGTTTGCCACTTGGATTTGAATTAGTGAATACATTTTCAACTCAATAAGAACATTCGGATCATTGAATAGTGTATCTCTGTACTGGACAGTGAAATGGCATCTATTGAAAAAATAACATTCTAGTGAAAAAAAAGTAGAAGTTCCTCTATATGCTGGAGGTAATTTTTTAAAATTAGCTAAATGGATATTAAATTGGTGAGAGAAATGCCCAAGAACTTTTCTAACATCAATTTTAGTGTTGGAAATATCTGTTTCTTGAAATTTGGCAGGAAATGTATTTGCGATTTTATCACTCATTTGCAATTATATTAAATGTCCCTACGTCGAATCAGTGTCCTCATGTCGGGCCTTTTTATTAATTTTTTCTGGGAAAATAAGTGTCCCTATGTCGAATTGTCCGCATGTGCGGGTCTCAATGTATGTTCGAATATTCCGGGGATCGACAGCACTGTATGTCAAGAAATTTCCAGAGCATTAAAAAAAATGCCTCAAGTGGATCGAAATGCTCGGGAATTTTTAAAAAGTTTAATTTCAAATTTAAAAATTCCGGAAATTGTCCCAAAAAAAAAAAAACTGTTCAAGGCCTTGGCTACGAGGAGTTCAAGAAAATTTACAACGAGAGATCGTCGGTCGTCATCGACATCCGCCCAGCCGAGGAGTTTTACCTGGACGGCATCCAAGACACTGTCAGTCTCCCGGGTAATTTTTTGTTGTTGCACATTATACACATTACAGAATATACAGGATTATGCCTGTGTCTTTTATTATTGCTAAACCACACGACTGCTTCCAGCTGGTGAAATAGAAGCCGCGAGTGCGTTGTCAGACGAAGAATTTGCGGCGAAATATGGATTTTTCAAACCGCAAGCGGATTGGAGCGACGCATTAATTTTGGGGGTCAACGGATGCGATGTTCTTGGTACTGTTCACGACATCATGAAATCGGGAGGAATAAAAGTCAGGTGAGGTATATTTTTGATGATTGATCCATATGCATATCCAGTCCCTGTTTAGAGTTACACGCCATATTGCGCAATTTTAGGGTGTATTCTACTCTATATACGAGCAGAGGCATTAATTTATTCAGCGAAGTATTCATCGATGAAACTTGAAAACAAAAATATTTTATGTGCTCCTCAACTTTTGAGCAAAAATTTCAAATTCTTTTATATAGAAAAATTCTATAAAAGAATTTAAAACTGTCTTATGAAGCAGGCAAAATGCTCAAAATAAGGCAAAGCTCAAAATTATATTGCGTTCCAAATTAAGCAGAAATTGATTGATCGTACATTTAAAATTAAAATGCTCTTTTGTCAAGTAGTGACATCTATATGAGCATTTGAAACTGACGTCATTTATTTTTTTGCTACATGGCAAGGTGGAAATATGTATGACATGCTGGGTTGAAAAATTTCTCTATGCACTCTTATGTTTACTAAACAGCATTCTCTGATTCTTTTTGCGATAATACTTATCTTTTACTCTACATCAGTGACTGGAGTATTCATGCATAACTTTCTCGATCGATGATATTTTGAAAGGAATGCTAATGCAATTAATGCATGTATTCCTTTGCATAAAGTTGCTGTTTTTACTGCCTATTTTTATGCTCAACTTTGACGCTGTTCAGTTAAGAAAGTAAAACAGCAGGTTTATTTTGTTCCTTGGTCAACTTATGCGTATGAACTTAGTTACTCGAACCTATCCGAATTTTTGTTTTCTTCAAAGCGCATAATATAATGGGGTTAAAATTGGTGCGCGGAATATAATAAGCATCGATGATTAACAAATTATGGTACTGTAATATTTTTCGAAAATTTATTATTCAGCGTCTTTCGCATTCCTTTCAATTTTGTTTTGTTTTATATACAGGTGGTACATTGGAGGAATCGAAGAATGGAATGAAAGAAACCCGATGACCACTGACTCGTCTGGAATAACGCCGAACGTTATCCCGGATCCTCAGAAAGCCTAACCAAAGAATTTCGATAGCTTTTCACTTGAAAGACAAAATCCCATTCCAAACTGCTCCCAATGGAAAGAAAAAAAATACTAGCCAGTCATTCAGCAACAAATAAAACAATTTTCTCATGCAGTGTTTCGGAAAAAAATGTGTGCCACTGCAGAAGATTCAATTATTTATTTTTCACTGCTGTCCGCGCAACATTTGAAAAAATTTCGTATTTCAGTCATTTGATTTTAGCAAACATAATATAATTTCAAAAGCTTTCTAATATATACGAAGCTAATACAGCCCGTAACACTTCCCATTCCCAAACATTGGGACTTGGCTTATTGAAACACATAAAGTGATCAGTTATTCAGATTTTATTGATGTCAATTCCAGTGGATTGTCTATATAATTGAAGGCCGATCGCGTATAAACTGTTTTTCTTTTTTCAGTGAATTTTCTAATTTTTGTCTGGATTTATTCTTTTTTTAAATTCATGCGACCTCAGTCTGAAAAAGTTATTTCCCAGATTTTCTAGATATGTTGGATTTTCTTCTCTATGGTCAATCGCGGCTGAAAAAGTTTAATTCCAAGATTTATTTTTCAATAGGCTTGAAAAAGTTTAAATTTTGAAAATGTTTTCTCGGTCATGTTGTATGCGAAGCCCGACGGAGAATGTCGAAAGCTTTTTTTTTCAAAATGCCATAGATTTTTTTTTCGAAAAAGGTATTTTTGTGATTTTAAATGTTGTATCAGTCAGTCATTCAGCAAGGTGAAAATTTGATAATATCCAGATTATGCTTTATTTTTGTTGAGCTCGCAGCAGGAATTTTGTGATGGAATATTTTTCGGTTCTTGGGTGTGGACCGCGGCCCGTTGTAGCTTAATTTGCGTGATGAAAATAAATGCATTTATAAAAACCCAGCAACATCAAACTACGTTTATTATAGTAACTGATTATATCGTGATCCATCTGAATAACGATCAAGCATAACCGTGCATCGGAAAATCTACATGCAAAGACAACCTATGCATGGACATGAGAAAATGACGCTGTCAAATTCTGAAAATGTTTCTCATTATTCCGTTTGATCAGAGAATAAAGTCTCGGCTATACTGCATACACCCGTTTAAAAATATTTAATTGAAGACTTTTTTCTTCAAAAACGTTAGTTATCATCGAGAATCAGATAATATCTACATTCTACACCTTATCGTCGGACGCTGGATGACTCTTAGGTTCGCAACGACATCGCAGACAACCTCTCGTCGCCCAGCACAAACCGTGACAATAATTATTCTGGTCATTTGACTTAATTAAAAAGTTAGTAACGCGTACATGCAGAAACTGCTGCTCGCAACGACTGCTGTATAAGGAATGCCGTCAGTTTGTATTTGAGATTACTGCACTTTTATGCATTCGCCGAAGTCTGAAGCTGTTTGTGCGTCAGATATTTGAAGTATTTGAGAAATAAAAACTTGTTTTTACGCGGTTTCACTTATTTTTTTTTCCATAAAAAAGTCTTGCAGTAATAAGACTCTCTTTACAAGAATCTTGTCTACAACAATTTACTTTGCTTGAATATTTTGTTTTGGTCCCTCAGGGTTCTCTCTTTATGTTTATACATGGGGTTCTGTACAACAAAATTTATCTCAATAACATTTTTTTCTCGTCCCTTGAATTTTTTGTAGAGGGGGTTCACTTGTATTATTCAGCAATTTTTCTCGGTTTTTAAAATCCCATGACAAATTGATTGATGAAATTACTCATAAATATTGAAAATGTATGGACAAACATACCAATTGACAAGGTAACATTTATTGTGAATAAAACGAGTTTAGAACAAGTTTATAAAGGGTTTTTGATTGGGAGATTCTCTTGCAATTTTTTGAAAAGATATGTATATACAGTATGTATAACATGTGGATAAGGCAACTGGCAAGCAGCTGTGTATGTGGCTGTTACTTTAGGAGTTAGATACAACTGGGTTCGGAATTCACACAGGAGTTGGATTCTGAACACAAAGGGAGTTGGGTTAATGCCCAAGAGCTGGTTAGGTGGCAGCTATAGCTCGATCACCAACTCCCAAATTATTTACTGAGATAGGACGCAGGTGCAAAATATATAAGCTACACCATATTTTTGCCAGTTGTTGCAGAAAAAAAACCGAAATTCGCATGAAAAAGTCTATAAACACTTATTCAAGTTCTGAAAAAAGCAATAAAATTTGTTGCGCATTAAAAATTGAATACGAAGCTCTTCGCTATGATAAAAAGCTATATTATACAGTACTGAATGCAGTGAATGGTACAATTAAGCCATCCGAATCTGGTGGACCGTTTTCAGCCGCAGACTTGTTGATAATTATACGGTCCGTCACTGCGGACTATACAATACAAATTACATCGAGCAAAAAAATAGAGCAAATTCAAAAGGATAACCTCGCTGAAAAATTGAACAAAGACAGGTCTGTCGACCTCTTGAGCATAACAAGCGTTCGACTGATCGAGACAGTTATTTTCAAACGTGTTTCTATATAGAAACTGGTCGCGGTCCGTTGAGCATCATCATTCAGAAGCTCGACCCCGTGGGCGGCCACTAATATATTCGGGCTATCGGATTTTCGTGTTCTTTTCATTCTCTCGGGTTTCTCTTACCCAGCAGACTCATTAAGCAAATCACAGTGTCTGGTTTCCAGGGCGAAGTCCCATCTCAGGCAGTATTCCTGGAAATATCTGGACAATCATCCCGAGGAGATGGGGACGCGCTGATTATAAAAACACCGGGCTTCTGTGTTCCAGTTCACAGTCTCGTGCTCATGGCAACCCAATCAACTTCGATCACCATTTTGCAATTAAAATATTCTCAAAGAATTTATATTTTCTGTGTTCATCTGGTAAAAATGATTAAATTTTGAATGATTCTGTGTGCTGTGTACGAATTGTGCGTGTGAAAATGCTCAGGTTTTGCAACTCTGCTGTTTCTAGTTCCAGTTCCCCGCGCGGGGAAAAATACTATTTATAAGATCGATAAAAATATGAAAAATACGAAAATTACCCCAGGATAATATTCCGGGCTATCAGCAATTTTCTGATATCTTTTCAGTTTACTATAAGATGAGCGGAAAAACTTTATGAATGGTTATTATACGCGCTGCCAGCGTTTTTTTTTTTTCAATCATTAAACAGCCGCCTGAAAATTTGTGAAGACAGTAAAAAAAATTAAATTTTTACCAGATGCAGAAAGTTGATGGTCAGAACGCGAAATGTAAATTCAAGTTTTCTGCTATCTTCCCTAATTTCCAGCACACTCCAGAATGAATGGAAAACTTTGGCTGGAACAGAAAAATGTTTCCTCTCGCGTTATATGCAGTGTTCCATAAATTTTCTCGTTCTTCTGACATTCTGTAAGACACTTTTTTAGATTTAAAACAAGAATAAATAAGCGATTCTCGGGATGTCCTCACTTGATTTTTACTGTTTGTTACCTAAAAAAATGTGCAGTAGAAAATCAAGACCATTGACCTGATATGTTCTCACTGAATTTTCTCAATCCGAATTTCACGACGGCCTTGCAATTTTGCGTCAGAAGAATTTACAGAAATTCGAAAAAAAAAATGCGTGTCACAGTTGTGCATCGTTTCGCACCCGTGCTTCTCATCATCAGCATCTCCTCGATCCGTGTGCACGCTGGCAGATTCAAATCTTCCATGGACATAATTGACGCCGACGACGGCACGTGTTTCTATATAGAAACTGGTCGCGGTCCGTTGAGCATCATCATTCAGAAGCTCGACCCCGTGGGCGGCCACTAATATATTCGGGCTATCGGATTTTCGTGTTCTTTTCATTCTCTCGGGTTTCTCTTAGGGTCGTCTGAGTAATTCGTTTAGTGTCACAGACCAAAGGTCCCGCTTCAGGGTAGAGTCCGTCATAAGGACCTTTATAGACCTGTTAGTAGGGCTCCTCTACCCCTGCGCGACTAATATTTTTGTGAGGGCTTCTGTGTTCCAGTTCACAGTCTCGTGCTCATGGCAACCCAATCAACTTCGATCACCATTATGCAATTAAAATATTCTCAAAGAATTTATATTTTCTGTGTTCATCTGGTAAAAATGATTAAATTTTGAATGATTCAGTGTGCTGTGTACGAATTGTGCGTGTGAAAATGCTCAGGTTTTGCAACTCTGCTGTTTCTAGTTCCAGTTCCCCGCGCGGGAAAAAAAATGCTATTTCTAAGATCGATAAAAATATGAAAAATACGAAAATTACTCCAGCATAATATTTCGGGCCATCAGCAATTTTCAGATTTATTTTCAGTTTACTATAAGATGAGCGGGAACACTATATGAATGGTTATTACGCGCTGCCCAGTGTTTTTACAATCATTCAACAGGCAATTGCAAAATTGTGAAGACAGTAAAAACATTAAATTGTTTGCAGACGCAGAAAGTTAATGTTCAGAACACGAAATGTTTATTCAAGTTTTCTGCTATCTTCCCTAATTTCCAGCACACTCCAGAATGAAAACTTTGGCTGGAACAGAAAAATGTTTCCTCTCACGTTATGCAGTGTTCCATAAATTTTCTCGTAAGATAATGTTTTAGATTTAGAATAAGAATAGATAAGCGATTCTCGGGATGTCCTCACTTGATTTTTACTGTTTGTTACCTGAAAATAAATGTGCAGTAGAAAATCAAGACCATTGACCTGATATGTACTCACTGAATTTTCTCAATCCGAATTTCACGACGGCCTTGCAATTTTGCGTCAGAAGAATTTACAGAAATTCGAAAAAAAATGCGTGTCACAGTTGTGCATCGTTTCGCACCCGTGCTTCTCATCATCAGCATCTCCTCGATCCGTGTGCACGCTGGCAGATTCAAATCTTCCATGGACATAATTGACGCCGACGACGGCGCTGAACCCGTGCAAATTTCAACACCAGCAGGCGAGACATAATCGAAAGCTGAAATATACGTAAATAATAAAAATAAATAAAATGTAATAATACTGTATTCATGAGAACCTTGACTCGAGCTGAGCGTCCCATGAAATTTACCACATCCAATATGAACCATACAGTGTTACATAAACTGTATGCAGTTTTGTTCTTAGCACATGTTTGAGGTTAAAATATCCATGCTTGAATTTAAAATTTCTTTAATTATCCACTTTCTGCATTTATTTCCGAGAAAGTGTTGTAAATTGTGAAGCAAGTAAAAATTATACCAAATTTCGTTTTATATAGCAGTGAAATTCGTTGAAGCCTACGAATTGAAGCAAGGCATTGAAAACGAGTCCCTTGTTTTGCTTGACGTTCGAAGCAAGGAATTGATTGCCAAAAACGGAAGGATTCCGGGTAGTTACGTCGTACCAGGTGAGTTTATTTTTAAACTGTACCTTATTTTGAAAGTAAAACATAATTAAGATACTGTACTACAGTTTATTACTTTACAATACTGTTCTTGATGATGGGATTTGAATAAGCCGATATAATATATGATAAAAAAGGCTTAAATTTTAATGTGTTAAAATTGAAGGAAAGCAAAATGTACCTTGTATCCCAAAGATACATAATTGTGTAGATGCAGTATACATTATAACCAGCATAATTGTGATAGATCTGCTGAATTTCCGCTCTGTTCAACTGACTTTCTGATGGGCATGACTTATGCTTTCAAAAACTTGATAAAATTCAGCAAAATCAGCGGAACTGCTAATGCTGTAACCGTAATGAAGACCCGCGGTGCAATTTCTTTTCGTTTCCATGTTTTAGAAACACTCATCATCAAGGCGTATTTTTGGAACAGCGAAACAAAAAGTTTATATTGTAGTACAGTAGTATAAACGTCGATATACATCAGATCATTCTTGTATTTGTTTTTGTGGATAATATTGCCTGTGATTTGATCATCCGCATCATTACAGCACTCGTCTAAATAATTAAATCCCTGTTTTCATAATGGACTGATGAATCAAGGGATGATGAGTTATTGAGTTTATTATTACAATATATATGAGTATACTGTATTTTGAAGTGCGACTTTATTCTTGTTGAACTTTTATGTTTTCGCAGTTGGTGACATGCAATACGCATTCACTAAATTGAGGGGCGACGAATTTGGACTCAAGTACGGATTTGAACGCCCGGATATTCCCGGGGACAATCTGATTTTTGCATGCTTGAAAGGAGGAGTTGGTCTGAAGGCCGCCAAGTTGCTCCAGAAGTACGGGTATTCTAACGTGCGGTACGTGAACCAACTAATTATTTACTGCATTTTAGTACTTTACGCATACATTTCTCGATCTAAAGGATACAATTTTAATGCGCGTGAATGCACATTAAAATGAAGGCACATGAACGTGCGCGAATGCTGGTTTTATAATAAAACGTAACCCTGAAAGTTTAGTCATAATAAATCGGGAATGAATTCATCATCATCTGTTGGATGACATCTGTATAACCTTCTAAATTAAATATACAGTTGATGAGCCTATTCAAGTTAAAGCTGAAGAGTATCCAAAGTGTTCTAATTTGAGATTCTTTAAATTATGAAAATTTGCTTCATATATTTACGAACATAGCTTATATAATTAATGGAAATTGATTTATCGTCAAATCATATAAAACTTGTCATTATTCATGATCTCCCTATACGAACTGTTGGGAGATGCGTATATACATAGTCCCACTTGCGGAAAGCATGGACGAGAAAATAATTTGCGTAATTTTTCGTCTTGGTCTTCTGCTGTGGAACAGGTGTGCTAATATTCAGCATCAATTTAGGAAGAAAAGACCTTGCGATTCGATTGATGGAGGTTTTATGGGGAAAAATTTATATTAGACGTGCGGGAATTTGCCTGCTGGGATCAACAGCAGGATATTCAAAGTAAGAAGGGCTTACTTATTGACAAAGGTTCATTTGTGGATGAAATATTTTTTTATTCATGCTCTGTATTTTCCTGCATCACATTTCCTTAAAGCATGGAAACTCTGATCAGTCCTGAATATTTTGTAATCTTTCCTGCAGATGCTATAAAGGAGACCCAATTAGTTGGAACGACGAAGACAAAGAAGCGGTGCGCGATGACAAGTGAAGAAATAAGGCATGCTCCAGATATTGATGTTTCAACGTTGCAATTATTTTTTCACTGCGGCAAAAAGAATGTTGAAGTTGAATGATGCTGTGAGTATAAAATTATTTTCATGGTATGATATTTTGGCGAGAATAGAAATGCGATGAGAATATATGATCTCTAAGTTGGACTCCTTTTGTGTTTCCTTTTACTTATTGATGATTTGATTTCATAATCTAACACTTTTCAGGTTTTTATGATACATTAATCCACATTTTCCATGATGTAAGACTGCTGTGTTTTGGTAAAACCATTAGACAGACAAATTATTCATTTACTCCTTTCTCTGGAGGTGGCCATAAAGCATCATGGTCATGTATCAAAATTAAATTCCTTTACTGCACATATACATATAAGAAAATTGATTTTAGTAAAAATACTGCATATTTACAGCAATTTTGGAAGACATGGTTTTCTCCTTGCATGGAAGGAAGGCTGTCCACGCACTTAGCTACAGTACAGTACAGTATGCAGTCAGCTGTGAGGAATGGTTAGGTTATGTAAGGACACTTTGAACAGGAGGACAGAGTACGAAACTGAAGCAGGGTTCATCAGCTGTTGGCGGCCGTCATGGGAGCGTCAAATCGGACGTGTACGACGGCAATGTGAGGAGACTTTAAATCTTGTACTGTATTTGGGCAAGTAATAATGTATACTTGTGCGAAAATTCCCATCTCCTCGAAGCGATGTGAACGTATGAAAAAGCTCAAATAAAAATCTCAGTATCTGTGTGACTTTATAACGTTTGGTTGCGATGTTCTAGTGATGTGGTGAATCGTGACGTGTTCAAAACGGTACTGTTGATCACAGCGAATGAGAGTTTGTCGACGCAATTTTTGAGTTCTGGGATTCATTTCTGCCTTGCATTACAGAGTGGCCTTCCAAAGTGAGTTTCGCAGTCCTCGCGTTGCATAATGTCGAGGAAAGAGAAAGAAAAGCCGCTTCTTGAAAAAGTTCGCACCTTTTTCTCGAAGTTGAGCAAAGGTCAACGAGCAATCGGCTCTTCTGCTCGCAGTGCGCCCGAAGTTCAAAGGCTCACAAAAGATATTCTTGAGACTTTGGATCCTAAGCATCCTTTTACGGAACGAGCGCAGGCAATGCGAGAACTAGTGGAAATTTTGCGAGCCAGCAGGATTGAAGATGTGAGTTTGAAAACTTAGCAACGTTTTCAATTTACTAAGCTTCTGGAATTTTAGGGTGGATTAGAAGCACTTTGGAAGCGGGTATCAGACCTTTTGAACGAAAATTCACCTGCTGGAATGGATGGGAAAATTGCGGCTTGGGAATTCTTATGCAAGATAATGGAAGTTCATGTGAAGTCAATGAATGATCCAATGCGTGAGATGGCTTTCCGAGCGATTGATCAGACTTACTCGAAAGAATGCGCTGAGTACAGCCTAGCTTTCCTAAATATTTTAACGGAGGAAGGTCGAAAATATCATAACATTGAGGAAAGAGTTGGTCCGTTCTTGCTTAAAGTATTTCCGGACGTAATTGTCAGTGATCGAGCCGTCAAGTTCCTGAATATACTCGAGATGGTGATCAAGTTCAACACTGCCTACTTGGATCCACCTCTGATCACGTCCTATATTCAGTAATGTTCCAAATGTTAAAGGTTTGAGGATTCAGATTGATTAAGATTTTTTTGCAGGTATTTGTGCTCCTTTTGCCAATGCACGGGAATGGAGAAGGAAATTGAGGCTAGTTTGAACATCCTTGATGCAATTATTTCTTACTCGTACTTACCCACCGAAGCCTTGCTTCCGTTCACCCAAACGTTGTGTAGGCTGGCAAATTATCCGGACTACTGTCCAAGAGCATGGAAGGTAAGTCCATGTCCGATTACGTCCGTGTTTCCTTCTGACTTTTGCTCTCTGCTTTAGTCCATGAGGAACCTTTTAGGAACGTGCCTTGGCCACAGCGCCATTTATGCAATGACAAACATGTTGATGCATTTTGAAGACAACACCATGGACGAATTTTTGCTTCGAGGTGCAATTTTTTTCATTTCCATGAGCTTGTGGGGATCTCAGCGAGTGAATGCTTTAAAGCATACTCCATTATCAGTATTGCCTTCGATATCCAAGGTATTGGCAAGAAGCTGCTGCGGAGGATTGTTCATACTTCATTTTGAAAATATAATGTGCTTCAGGTGTTGGATTGCGATCATACTCTGATAGCCTACGAAGTTTCACTGACGCTGGTAAGGTTAGTAGAAAAACATGGAAAGCATCAAACACGACCTGCGTGGGATTTGATTTTTGAAATTGTGGCAAAGCTGATCGCCTTTTCAGGTGACTGATGTTTTTATTATGTAATGGGATTATTATTATTCTGACGTATCTTTTGCATTGCAGACAAAAAACCGAATCCTGAGATCAACACCCAGTTGCAAAAGCTGCTGACGGCCATGGAAAATGTTCTTCTGGAAGTTAAACTCTCGGACGAAGCTATGAAACTTTACGACTTGATTGACAAATGTTCTTATTCGCGCCCTGTGAGTACGCTGTTTTTTAAAAATCGGATTAAAATTCATAACTCACTTAAAAATTGCAGGAAGAATCGGTTCTGAGATTGCTTAACTTTTGGGCGGAACGAATTCATCCCTTGAGATCACAATGGATTGAACATCTGCAAATGATAATGACAAATTATTACAAAAAAGAAACGCGATTACGTGTGCGTTTGGAGACGCTTCGTATTCTCAAAAACGTCCTTGAATCAAATCGAGCAGTTTTCGAAGAAGAGCTGGTCGACAAAATTGTATTGCCTTTTCTGGGAAACATTGAAATGGAGAAGAACGTCGTTGTGAGAGAACAAGCCACCGAAATTCTGATAGAAGTCGCTGGGAATCTCCAGTCGAAAAAGTTCCTCAAGATCATCGACATTCTGGAACGAATTATTAAACAGCCATTTTCGGGCAAACTAAATGAGGCGATGGAAGATCCGGACTTGGCTGATGTCAAAGTTGCCCTTGGTGGGCTGACTCAGATATTCCGAATGAAGCTATATCAGTTACCCTCGGATCACTGCATACGAGTCTATCAAATTCTTGTGTCCCACCTGATGTCCCATTACCGGAAGCCCATATGCGCCGAGAAAGCTGAAGTTTGGCGATACATGGTAACTACCACTTCTCATAATTTATCAACATATATTTTTTTTTACTCTCATGAATGCCCTATCTTCGTCGGCGGAATATCAGGCGATTATCGTACGAATCACTATTCTGTCTGAACATAATCGAAAGCAATGTATTCCAGCTTGACATAACTTAGTATAACCTGATACACTGTAAAAAAATACAGTACATCCAAATACTGTACAAAAAAATACAATTTAATTTCGGCGAAACATACCCTATTTATTCGTTTAAAAATCAGATGAGGTTTTATAGAGCTTCTTCCCTCGGTGTCTAAGCTACAAAGGAATCGATTGTACGGCATCTTGAACCCAATTTTTTTCCACAAAACAGTATGATTAAATCAATTATTTTAAAGGTTGCTTAGATGCTCTGCTGATTCTTCACCACATAACAAAGAATTTTTTGAAATAACCAAAGCTGAACTGATCTAACCTGCTGCTCTAATGAAATAAAATTTAAAAATAAAGTTCAGGCCGCATCCAGCTGACGGCAAAGGAAATCGCGGATTTATGGACAACGGATGCTACTGGGCATCTGACATCTAACCAGAGTGGGTGACGGTTCGGGGTTTTTGTTTTTGTTTTGACAGGTTTTTGAGTGTTTCCTGTCTCTTCGAGCTGACAGTCGGTATCACCTTGGAATATGTGATAGTAGAAACAACGTGGAGTTCAGTCCGTACATCATGGTGGACCATCGACGTGGAGAGCATCACAGTCAAGTTGCTCCGCCCACCAGTCAGAGTTCGTCCTCTTCCACTTCTCCTCCGCCCGCGTCTCCAAGTGCTGCCTCATCAACGATTGGCGCTACTGCCTCCTCGGTTTTCTCAACACCTTACCCGAGCTGCAAAATTTCGTTGCTGTCATTGACACAGGCCTGTGGCGCTTTAATTGCTGGACTGCAGAAGGAGAAGGATTGGACAGTTCTGCAGCTATTACTCACGGCGCTTCCAGAAGTCCTGGGCAACAAAGCACTGACCCTTTCGAGAAATGGGAACGATATGCATTATTTGGTTGACGCTGCTTGTAATTTGATGAACGAGAAAAGTCGCATGCCTGAGCAACTTTCTTCGCTGGATTTTCAGGTTCGTCATGAAAATCAAATTTCATGCTGTGTTGTTTTTGGAAGTGCCGAGATAGAGAAATTTTGAGATGCATTTGAACTTCTGAGAAATTACTTTATTCAATTGGATCCCAGAGATGGGGAAGAAATTTACCCATTTAAGAGGGTGCATCAAGATTTCTTTTCTGAAAAAAATTACACTACAACGTGGAAGCACGAGTAGTCCTTGAAAAAAATGTCCGGAATTATTGTCTACAGTACTTCGAAATTGTTAGTTCAATCTACAATGTATTAAAAATGAAGTGGATTAATTTTTAATTTTTCGCGAAACATATTTTAATATTTTTTCAATGATGACCGTAACCAGAAAAATTATTGCTACCCAATGTATAGTTACCTAAATAATTTTCAGGTTCGGTTTATTTTTTTGTTTAGGGATTTGTGTTTCCTGTTCTCATCGCTCTGGTTCCGTATCATCGGCACGTTGATCCTGAGCGTCAGACGAAGCTAATCACCGCAATAAAGCGAGGGCTGATGACAAAATCCACTGCGAGTTGTATCGATGCATTGACAATGTCTGCGTTGGAAATGACGGAAACTATGCACAAGATTATTCCGTCAACCTTGCAAGAACTTTCCAGGATGACCGCAACGAAAAACATTGCCTTGCCGACGCTTCTTTTCCTGTCAAGTAAGCTATGGTTCACGTTGCTTTCAACATTTTTTATGAGTTATTTCTGGTTATACTTATCAGCGCTTATCAGGCTACCTGGGGTCTACAAGAGCTTCATTGAAGATCAGTACCGGTCAATTTTCGCAATTGCCTTGCAGTACACGAATCCCGTGAAATTTGAGCACAGTGTCATTTCTCTTGCCCACCACGTCATCGCGATGTGGTTTCTTAAATGCCGTTTGCCTCTTCGACGTCAGTTGGTTCAGTTCATAACGACTGGCCTGGAAGATCATGCGCTGAAAACCACGGCTGCTAAAGCAGCTGCAAAAAATACGCCGACTGATGAAAGTCGCGGGGCTCGAACAATGGGAGACGATCTCGCTGCAGATCCAGGAGCCTTTGGTCGTCAACGGAGTTCCTCGTTGCATGAACGGGTAAGAAGCATTTCGAAGTTCATTTTTACGTCTTTGTTCTGGTCCTTACATTAAATTCCTTTGCGAGACGCATTGACTGGTTGTCAGAATTTCAGGAAGTACTGACGTTTTGAAGACTGATATTGAACTTCGTAGCGCAGTGCAGCTGTCGCTGTATCGGTTAATTAACAAGAACTGTAATATTGCAATTCTCTATCCATTTCTGTATTACACGCACAGTGTTTCTAAAAAAAAAGGATTCTTCGTGCATTGATATATATTTATTTAATCGTAAGCTATTCGGTGGAGTACAAGAATGTAAATCACTTTATAAGGGCGTTGAGAAGGGATTTTTTAAATAAAAATAATTGTTCGCGTCTTGTACTGGATCGAGTGACACATTCTAATTGGCGCGCTGGCAAGCGTGATATTAGGGAACTGGTTCTATTTCATTACTTCACATTATTATAAATTACTTTGAGCAAAAAATACGCCGACTGATGAAAGTCGCGGGGCTCGAACAATGGGAGACGATCTCGCTGCAGATCCAGGAGCCTTTGGTCGTCAACGGAGTTCCTCGTTGCATGAACGGGTAAGAAGCATTTCGAAGTTAATTTTTACGTCTTCTGTTCTGGTCCTTACATTAAATTCCTTTGCGAGACGCATTGACTGGTTGTCAGAATTTCAGGAAGTAATGACGTTTTGAAGACTGATATTGAACTTCGAAGCGCAGTGCAGCTGTCGCTGTATCGGTTATTTAACAAGAACTGTAATATTGCAATTCTCTATCCATTTCTGTATTACACGCACCGTGTTTCTAAAAAAAAAAGGATTCTTCGTGCATTGATATATATTTATTTAATCGTAAGCTATTCGGTGGAGTACAAGAATGTAAATCACTTTATAAGGGCGTTGAGAAGGGATTTTTTTAATAAAAATAATTGTTCGCGTCTTGTACTGGATCGAGTGACACATTCTAATTGGCGCGCTGGCAAGCGTGATATTAGGGAACTGGTTCTATTTCATTACTTCACATTATTATAAATTACTTTGAGCATTCCTTTTTCAACGAAGTGACGGCCGAACAACAAATTTAAGGTTCAAATTTGTCCACAGGCGAATCCCTTCAAAAAAGAAAGTTTGCATGGTGGGGGAAGCTCGTGCAGCACTTCCGAAGAAAATTTACTTTCCTTTCACCAGGAGTTGGCAATGACGTGTTTGGATCTGATGGCTCGATATTCATTCGCCCACGTGTCGCCTTTAACGAACAGGTAAATATGGAATGAAATAAAAAATACTTGGTAAGTCTTTATCTTCGCATCTGACGTATCGTCCCACCCGCATTATTCGACGGAAATTCTGTCAATGACAATGGGATGCCATTTTTTCTCAAATAGAACGCACATCAGCGATTTTCTTCTTCAAAACGGAGTTTCGGAGTCTTGGATAATGGGCAATGAAATCATCACCGTTACTACGTCTGCGTGTTCGCTACGTCCTTTGCGCCCTGGTACATTTTGCGACACTTGCTGGACTCGCTGTGCAGGGAATGCGTCATTAAGTGGTATGATAATGCGTTTCACTGAGCAATGGTCAATATTTTTGTCGAAAACAATGTTACTGGACCAGCCCCAAGTTCCTTTTTATTTTTGATATTATTCTTATTACTTTTGATAAAGAAGAGCTTTGCTTCTTTTTTCGACTCCCAATCGTATTCTTCGATTTTTCTGGCGCGATTCGAGGAAGAAGCAATGTACTGTCCAGTAATCGAAATTTTCCTGAGTTTTCTAGTCGAAATTTTATTTAGTCGAAAGTAGATGATTCGAGTAATACAAAATCAGGAATTTTCGCTTTTGGGTGCATGTGATCACGAAATTTATTTAAAATTGCTACGTTCAAAGGGGAAACGATCCAAACTCAGCCGTCCGTCGTGCCAAGTGCAATTTCTGCTCCCATAGACATCGAAAGCCCGAAGCGGAAACGGCATCAGTCAGAGTTCACTGGAGGATCTCCTTCACAGGTGAGAACTATAGTGCGCTAGTTTTTGCGAAAAAAATAAAATACAGTACTGTACTGTAATCCATATTTCGAAAACAGTCATTGCCACAAAGTTGAATTGATAGAAATGCAGGTTAAACTCAACATCTTCGGATTGATGTACGGATTCGTATATGGTGATGTACTGTGATACAGTATTTTGCCGACCGTGGCCGTTTCTTTTTCGTGATCTACCAAGATCTTTACCGCACCGTCTCGGCTTTCAGAAGGTGAACTGTTTCTTATGAACTCATTTTTGCGTTTTTACTGTTAGGCATCTTCGAATTTCTGGTCCGCCGCAGCAAAAGATGATCTGCATATGTGGAATAGTGAGGATAACGTGGCTTCTAGTCACGCCGAAGGTTCTTCGACCAAGCGACCTGGGAACGAGCTTCATGATGATGGACGGATTTTGTGCACTTGTTGGTGTCAAGGCTGGGCCGAAATCCACATTCGAAGACCCACAGGTTGTACAGTAGATGAAAAAATGCTCATTTCGCTCAAATGAACTGTCTTCAACTGCAGTTCGATAAAATTACGGATTTAGATGCGTTACACGACAGTTTTTCTGAAGGCACTGACGGATTCTTATTTTTCCCCATATAGGAAGCACTTCTTGGGCCATGAAGATACAAAATTCTGCGATTCGAAGTTCGTCTCTTTGCAATGACCGTGTTCTGGGGGATATAATGTCTCATTTGTTGCCATCTTTGCGCGAGCGTGCAGTAGATACTGACCTGGATTCTGTGATCCAATCTGTCGAAGAGAAGGATGTAAGTTTCTGACGAAAAATTTATCTCTGGGGAATTTTTTTAAATCCAGCTGAATTGCAGGTAAACGTTTCCGTGGGATCTGTGAAATCCGATCTTCTGGATGCTGATCCGGTTAATTCGTCGAGAGATTCTGTGACGCGTGAGTACTTGTATTCGAGCTTTCCCTTGATCTGCAAGCATTTCAAACTCGCAAGATTCGTCTGCCGCTGTTGAAAACGCTTTATCCAAGAGCCAGACAAATCTGGTATCCGTGTCCAAGTAGGTGAACTTCCAATTTTACCCGCCATAGCAATATTATTTTATTATCCTGTGAAAATAACGATGAGAAACTTTGTATCGAATGCCAAAAACGCTACGAAGGATGATGTTTAATGGTTACATGTGTAAGGATTCCTGTTGAATAGGAATACAGCTAGTGGGTTGACGGTGCAGACAAGAATGGGTTAATTGCTTTTTAAAACGGCTGGAATATTTTATATGGTTTGAATCCATTGCGAACGAGGAACACAAACCATTAAAAAAGCTGCACAGGGAACTCTAAGAAAAAATATCTCGAGAAAGCTGCACGAAGATCTTCTTTAATATATAGGAACTACTGCTCAGCCCAATTAACGAAACTCCATACGATGCGGAAAAGCCATTACCATTTGCTTTAATACCGTATACTGTACTGTGATATATTTTTTCCGGTTCGGTAATAATATTGTGCTTGTAGGTTATTGTCGGATGGTCATACGGGGAGCATGCCGGATTCGTTATACACCGCCTGTTCGAACAAGTCTGCGGAAGCGTCACCTGTGGTATTTATTCACTTCTAGTGATATGAGATGCAGGCCGTATCTAAAAATAATATTTCGTTTTATCTGCAGAGAAAATCTGCCCCGGGAAGTCCTGAAATGCAGCATGAAGACAGTGCCGGGCTTCTCGTCCCAACTTCTTCACGAGTCCTTCAGCATCGCAACAGTCTACAAACAACCATGTTGGGTGTGAAACCATTGGGGATCCCATCTAGCGAAACGGCTTTCCGTGAGCGAAGCAGAACTGTGAGCCATGCCGGTCAAGTGGGCAGACCACGCGGTTCAGTGCTACTCAGTCGAACCGGCTCTACGAATACGCTGGGAAGTGGTTCGAAAGACCCTGGTGAACGTGCAGGAATCAATCCCAAGTATGAAATTTGTATCCGTTTCATCAGCTTTTTTAAGGCATGTGCAGATGCAGATCACGCGTATTTTTGCATTGCACTAGCGTTGACAGCTTGTAAGTTTGATTCGTGAATAATGACGAAATATTTTCACTCTAACGTCGAATGTCCGTGAATGCGGGATTTTCTCTGTAATTATATAGGTGTTGACAGAATTATGCTAGATTTGATTACGGTTCGACCAAACTTTGTTTTCAAGCTTTGTATACGTGACATTTCAGAGCACATGTTTTGGACTCAAAACGTAGCGTAAGCAAATAATTTTATCGGAGTCCGTGCAAGAATCTTCAATGCACGGATTTGATTTCCATCTGTATATTCTTTCGTTGTAGGTTCGTATTTCTTCAGCTGTTCTATGGAGGCCATTTGAGGGCCAGTGGTGATGTTGACAAAAATGATGAAAGCGAGCCACTTCTTCTTCCGAGGACGAGAGAAGTGGAAAGATCTATTAAAAATCTTGATAGAATTTACCCGTACGAAACTCACAAGATTGGAATAATTTACATTGGGCGAAATCAGTTGGATGCAGGACGAGATTCGGAGAAGGAAATTTTGTCAAATGACTTCGGATCGCCCAGATACATGGAATTCATTCAGGTGATATGACTGATAGCCTTATCTTCATGTTTTCCGATTATTGTCTGTGGATACTTTACATAAAGAACTGTTATGGCGGGCTAATCTAACGTTGTTCGTACTTTCAGGGATTGGGTGAAATAATAAGTTTGTCGGACATTGATACCCGTACTACCTTCTTGGGAGGACTAGACACCGGGGGACTAGATGGGGAATTCGCCGTCACTTGGCGAGATGAGTTGATGCAAGTGATATTTCACATTGCTACACTGATGCCTAAATCGTAAGTGAATCTGACTGGCGTATTTTTCCGTCTTTTTACCTTATGATTGTTGATTTTCAGCGAATCCGATCCCAATTGCAACAACAAAAAGAAGCATATCGGGAATGATTTCGTGTTGATTGTGTACAATGAGAGTGGGCGCCCTTACAATACTTCGATCGTGAAGGTTTGTAAACTCTGCGCATACAGCAATTTTTTGCGAGATATGCATGAAATAAATCCCTATACAGTACAGTACTGTACACTGGGGAGATTTAAAATTAAAAAAAGAAAATCTTAGGATTGATTAAAAAAAATATTTGCGCGATGTAAGACAATATATGTAATCAACATTTATCAACGTATTCTAAAGATTTTTACCCAGGTGTGCACGATTGCATTTTAGGAGTCCTAGTTTTTGGAATCATTGGTGTTATTTATGGTTTAGGGGCAAGTGATCTACTCATGGATTGAAATCCAACCTTTGCCGCATGGATGCAACAAAATTTTGGTTCATGCCAGACCGGAATCAGACGTTTGTCTGTTCGCCGGTGGGCGTCCTGCTCCGATTATATCTGATCGAAACTTGGCTTTGTATGTTCGTCAAGTTGCGCTTCATGCTGATGTGAGTTTGCTCGAATCCATTTTAAATAACAATAAATCTTAAATTCTTCTGGATCCGATCAACATTAAGATGACCCGGTACTTTTTCAGCTTTTGTCGTGCTTTTACATGGAAGCGAAGGGAAAGCTACCTTACTCGTCGAAATGGCTGGAGCGTTTGAGGCAAATACGACGTCTACGTTCAAAATTGAATGAAGATAAGCGAAGTGGTTCTTCTTCCGGCAAAGAAGGCGGTTCTCCAAACAAAACAGTGGATCCTCATGCTTCATCAACGATAGGTTCCCTGTCGCCTCAGCAAAGGAGACCGATTGTTCAACGAGTTTCGAGTTTTTCGGGTTATGTTTAAAAATTTGTAGCGAAGAAACTGATGCTTGAGATCTTTCAATTTGGCGAAGAACGAGTGGTGAAAATTCGGGAAAATTTCAATGAATTCATCTTCCGATGTTCGAGTATCTGTGATGGTGCACAGATGACGGAAGTTCGTGTGAAGTAATTTTAAATTCGAGTTAGTTCGAATTGTTTCTGTGCTGCTGTGGATCGTTCATTGAGAAGACCAGGATCAGAAAATGCTTAAATTTTGTTAAACTTGATTTCTCTTGGTATGTTTGCCTTTATGAAAAACTGCTGTTTCAAAAACATCTGCTTCAGCTTTTTACCTTCCTGACAGTGCGATGGTTGGTTCTTGATTTTTTCAGCCTCCCCCTTCCGTCTTTAGTCTTCTTGGATGTGAGGGATAAAAAAAAATATTTGATAATATTCTGGTCATCGTTCTTATTTTTTCTCACTGAGGTTGAAGTCGAGAGAAGATGGATTCCCGAAGTGCATTTTATCAGTTGAGAAGAACTAAAGTTTACCTGCAGAACTTACACGTTTTATACCTGAAGGATTCGCTACTCCTCTGACTAAAAGATCTGCTTGGAATTGCGGTATCCCAGTTAGGACAAACTTGATCCATTGAAAAAAACTTTCATCACGGAATTTTTTCTGTCAGTAGTATTGAATGGGAAATGTGGATGAGTGATATCCTGTGTGTGGCTGCGAATTGGAAAAATCCCTTGGCAAACAAACGGAGGCTTGATTTTTGTTTACGTAATGATCCCACAAAGGTTTGGAAGATCCTGACTCATAAGCTTGGGGACCCAAAAAAAATTTTATTTCGAAGTACTGACAAAACTCTTGAACCATCCCGCGTACTTCTGTTCCTATTCTTTTCTACTCTTCCATGGAATTCTGAAACGTCCTGTTGTTTTTCAGGTCCGACAGGAAGCAGTATACTTGAGTTTTACGTGATTCCAAGCATGTGTGCTTGTACTTGTTGCGGCGTGTCGTCAATGCATAAAGGTTTCCATTGTGAAATATTCTCCGAGTCTGTGCTGGACTGAATCCAAGCCGGAAGCACGAGTCACTTCTAGGGGCTAGCGTAACGCTTTTTTGCCTGTGCGATATGAAATAATTTTTTGTTATTGAAACAGTAAACATTTTTCTGAGGTCACGTTTTACTGAAAGTAAAACCAACACGCGGTAAATAACTTGGAATTGTACCTTCGTCGACCAAGCATAGGACGGTAAAGTAGGATTTACCATTTCATACCCCTGTGTGGTTTGCCTGGTAATTTTTGTGTGAAATTTCTTTTCAGGTAACTTCTTCGTTTAACCACTTTTTTGTTGTGCGCGTGGTCTTGGTAGCTTCAGAGATGTCGTCAACAGGCAAGTTGGTGTTTTGTGCCCTAGGAGTTTTCGTATGCTACTTCTTCTACGGTATCCTCATGGAACGCATGTAAGTACAGTATATCATTTAGCACAATTCATCAATTTCAAGTTTTTTGTCTTCACTCAGTACACGTGGGGACTATGATGGGGAGAAGTTCACATATTCTATGTCTCTCGTCTGGGCGCTCTGCGTTGCCAATTGCGTGTTTTCAAAACTGAGTGAGATATGAACAGAATTGCTCTCAGCTTTTCGATTCTGAGAAATGAATATTTCTTCTCTTTCAGCCTTGTCAACTCTGTCGCCGGAAGGCCCGGACACAACGAGAACTATGTATTACAGTGTATGTTCTCTGACTTATCTTCTGGCCATGATTTCAAGCACAATGGCCCTTCAATGGGTGAATTATCCGACCCAGGTATGAACTCAGAATCTTAGTCATAATCCCTTTGTAGGAAGTGTACTAACGATTATTTTTTCGTAGGTTGTTGGAAAATCTTGTAAACCCATTCCTGTGATGATTCTCGGAGTTCTGCTGGGAAACAAGAAATATTCGTTGCAGAAATACTGCTTCGTCTTTTTGATCGTTGCCGGTGTTTGCATGTTCATGTGGAAAGACTCTGCGAAAACAATCAAAGGTCCTGAAAATACGAGTATGGGCGAGGTTCTGCTAGTTTTGTCCCTGCTAATGGATGGATGCACCGCAGCTGTGCAAGAAAGAATGAAGTCCGAGCACAAGACAAAACCATTGACTATGATGTACTACATGAATCTCGGTGGAATAATTTATTTGACGTTCAGTAAGTTGAAAATTATTCGAAAAAATCTTACGTTTTCATTATGTAACAAAGTGACCGAGTTTCTTATTGTTCTCAGGCTTGCTTCTGACTGGTGAACTTGTTCTCTTCATAATGTTCGTAATGGAACACACTCATTTGATCTGGGACATAATGATATTCTCGGTTGCGAGTGCGCTCGGACAGGTACGTTTCACCTTGTAAAAGCAGCCAAGAGATTTCTTAGAAGTCTTGGAAATATCCATCAAATCGTCATTGCGCGTTTAATGAAAGACTGGAATATCTTTTCAGCAACTTCCTTTTGATTTTTGAATTACATTTTATATCCCGTAATACCCAGAAAAGCACGAAGAGCGAAGGAATTATCAGATTGGTTTCATGCTTTCATTTTTAAATGTACTTGGGAGTTTTTGACATGAAAACCTAAGAATATTTTGAAAATTGCTCAAATACGAAGCTCAAACGCGTTCGTCTGTCGAGTGGATTTGAAAAGTTTTGAGTGGAAACTCATACGTCTTACGATTTTGCAAATGAAGGGTATCCATTAAATTGAAATTTGTGACGAAAATTTACTCTGATTCAAAATGCCTGCACATACTGAAGAGTCATCACCAAGAAGCTGAATTTTTCAATTTTTCCCCGAGTTATTCCATGTGCTCCCTATTTCTTAATATATAAGAACCCTCTTATCATTTATGACTTATCTCATCTATTTGTATACGAATGCATTTTCTTTGTAATTGTACATAACATAGGTGAATATTGAGCGACATGTTTTTTAATGTCTGCAATGCAAATTTTTTTGGGAATGCCAGACCTTTCGCGAAAACCCTTCGCAAAGTAGGTGTATATTCAATTTCATTGTCCTTTCTACAGTTTTTCATATTTTTGACCGTGAGTGAATTTGGGCCTCTGCCGTTGTCGCTGATAACTACGACCAGAAAGTTCTTCACTGTTCTGGCATCCGTCGTCATATTTGGACATCATATCGCTCCACGGCAGTGGTTCGGTGCAGTTCTGGTCTTCACAGGTCAGTTGGACGCACCTTGTCGTGTTTTTGGACCTTTTTTATTATGTGACGGCATTTACAGGACTCATCATGGACGGGGTTTACTCGAAAGGCTCCGGCAAAGCGAAGCCGTCGAGTTCTTGAGAAGGGGAAGATGAAATGAAATTATCTCGTTCTGCTGTTATTGTGGTGAACCTCTTAGGTAGGGTGAATTTTGTGTGTGAAACTGTGACAGGGACGACGCATGGAGTGAACGTTGCATTAAAAATGAAAGTTTCTTTAATACCACGTTGAGAAATTTTCATGAATCGGTTTTGATGGAACTTGAGTTGCATAGATTCTAAAAAAATTTCCTTCGCGCGTGGATACACACTTGCGTTGTTCGAATTTGCAGCATTTTATTCGCACACCATTTTATTGTGATGTGAGCACAAACCTGTGAATTGTTGCTGTTTTGTTGTTGAATTTTCTTTCGTTTTTCAAACCAAAATAAATTTTCAATGAACGTTGTGTTCGTGAATCCGTTCCCATCTGCGTTGGTAATTTGATATAGGAAACATTTCTCGATCTTTAATTCCGTAACTGTTTTTTTTCGGAAACCGGAAATAAATTCGGAAGAGTCGAAAATCCGCTGGGGTTCGTCTTGGTTGCAGCAGATTTTTAGGACTGCTAAGATTTTTTGTACGACTACTGATCCGATGCTTAATGTTGTTTCTTAATTTTGGGGTTATGTGGAGTAATGAGATGATTTTTGGAATTCTTTGGTATACTGTATATGTATAACTTTGTTTTGCTCTCGTTTCGCATGTTGCCCGTTACCGTGTTGAGCTTGATCTTTGTGAAGCAGATAAATGAAGAAATTGCTGAATCATTGAAGTCTGAAGGATTCACGGTGATAATCTGAATTCCGGAGGGTTTTCCAAATCAGTGACACATTTTAGCTGCTTCCTATTTTCTTCCTCGAAGCATTCAATGGTAATCACAATTCTGAAATTTCTTGTCTCAGAAATTGTGCTGTGTACATATGGTTTTTGACGTTAGTGCAACAATGACGCCGTATTTTACTTCCGGGGAAGTTGTGAAGGGCTTTGGACGTGGCTCGAAGGATCTGGGCATTCCGACGGGTAGTGCAAGATTGAATTGAATTTTTGAATGATCTAAACGATCCTTCTACTGATCTAGCAAATTTTCCTGATACCGTTGTGGACGGACTGCCGGAGAATTTTGGAACGGGAGTTTACTACGGTTGGGCACAAGTTGGCGGAAGTGATGTTCACAAAATGGTGATGTCAATCGGATGGAATCCGTATTATAAAAACACCAAAAAGTCGATGGTGAGAAACCGTGAATTATTTGAATTTTGCTGAAAATAATGTCGCGGTACGAATCTTTTGCAGGAAACTCACGTAATTCATCAGTTCAAAGAAGATTTTTATGGATCTATCCTGAAAGTTGTGATCACTGGCTTTATACGTGGAGAACGGGATTTTAAATCCTTAGGTATGATTCATTCACTTACATTCTAGCACTTCGCGAGACATGGTTCTTTTATTTTCGCGCTGTCACTCTCATTCCTCAAGTGCGAACGTTTAATTTGATTAGAAAATCTTGCGAACTCAAAATGGCTCGTGTTTGAATTATTTAATGTATGATGCATCAGGTCGCGTTAAGAAAATGCTACCCGCTGAATAAGGAACAGTATTCTTTCGCATTAATATATCCAACGTGTGGAATCGATTCCTTCATAGATGCCTTGATTGCCGAAATCAAAAATGATATTCGGATAGCGGAGGAGAGGCTGGAAGATCCTGAAATGCAAGCCTTCCGCCTTCACAAGTTCTTCAGAGAGGAACCAAAGATGAATTGACAGCTTCGATATTTTCGAAGTGACCGCATGGCCACTGCCCTGTGGATTTTATCTTGCTACATTTTTCAGCTTTTGCAATGGACAGCATCGTGGCCTCTGAGCATACCGTTTCTTTCGACTTGATCTTTGGGATTTATCGTGGGGTGTGCGATGGTTTCTTTTTACTGGAACGCACCGCTGCTAATGGGAAATTTCACTTCGTTTCCGGTTGCGTTTGAACAGACTATGTGATAGTTATGAGTTGTATTGGGTAAGGTTAGTCCGGTTGGTTTTTTCGAGTATTTTATGTTCAGCGTCACTTCTATTTCGATACGATCGAATGGATTTATACTGAAGTGAACAGTCAAGAGCATGTATTCTGACGCAACGGTTGTCCCACCTTGCCAGAAGGCATTGGGTTGTTGTGTGTTTCTACCAACCTGGATGTGCCTGCGTTTTTTTTTTTTTACAATGCTGCAATCTTCCGTGAACATTTGGGAAAGGAGGTTGTTTTTCATATGTGATGGGAATAAATATAGCCATTTTAGCGCATTTGTTATTGCTTATGGAAAGGTGGGCATGTCTGGGATGTTGAGCCTTAATCTGGGAAAGAATGAGGTGATGGAGTGATGAATGGACAATAAGTGTCCGTTCATTATGCACACAATTTTTCGTCAATAAACTCTGCTCCACATAGGTACGATATTACTGTACGGTACATGATTTGTGTCACCTATCCGGCGGTAATAGATCAGTGCAAGTGCCGTCGTAGATTTGAATTAGTGAGACCTTCCGTGCAGGACAAGTGTTCTTGTCGTACAGGTCATGTCGGAGGCGCGAGGAATATCTTTCGGAACTTTAATTCTGGAGTATGAAATCGGCGACTCGGTGAACTTCTTGTGGAGGAAATCGAATGTCGATTTTGTAGTCGGGGAACGCTTAATTGATCTGTGGGAAGCTGCATTTCTGTTAGTTCATTTTTTTTGGTAAAAAAAAAAGAATTTACGGTCTAACCCTCACGTCTCAATTCTTTCGTAAGCACAGTCTCCGCAAGCTTTCCTCCTATCTGGAGCAACGTAGAAGATTTTTGTGGGGACCCTGAACCACTCATACAGTTGCATGTGGAAGAAGTAAGCTACTTAAGCTCAGTCAAAGTTGAACGAACTGATACTGCACCTGCTTGCCTTAATGACGATCACCTGATGGACGCGGTTATTGAAATTCCGCCGCCGGGAATTCCTCTGGATCATCAACTGATACTGTGATAGAAACGCGCGCGCGAAAAGTAAATTCGTACCCTCCACCGGTTTCGGTGAGTCGCGAAGGTTTCGGCGGGAATCCGTGTGTCTCGCCAGTCGCGTGAGATATGTCACGATGAGCTGTCATGATCTTGTGACTTTATTTTCAGGATTATTATTATCCGTTTAAGCAATTACTTTACCTAATTCTAATGGCAAAATTCTGTGGGACTCATTTTAATTGTCGGTGAACTCAACGATGACTTTGAGGAAGATTCGTGTTGTTGAACTAAGTAGGTTATCAAGGCGTGATCATTTTCGATCCGCCAAGTGTTCCCGAGTGGAATTGCTTCTGCGGAGATGGAACCGGAATCATCGTCAACCCGGAGCAAGAAGAAATCGAACTCGACTTCGACGAGAACGAGTCGCTCAAGTGGTGTCGCAACTCAGAGTCAGACTGCCGAATTGAAGAATTTAATCGATCGCTTGAAGCAATTAACGGGAGATACTCTGGTAATACGTTCTCAAGATGTTCACTCAGAGCAATTGCGGAATTGTTCAACTCGGTTGGTGAATGTTGTGAAAGGCAATGGTGCGTAGTAGAACAAGGCCCGAAGATTGCAATGTGTGAATATTTTCTATGCATTGCAGCAACATCGAGACAGTATTTGAACTCTGATCCAGGGAAGAATTTTTCGTTTGTTCCTGCAATATTGAAAGTGAGTACAAAGTTTCACTTTTTTTAAATCTATAATCAAATGCGGTGGATGTCAATGATGAGCTAACTAGTAAATTAATACAATTACAAATTTATTCTGAGAAAAAAGATTTACGCATCGCGTAGTCCTTCAGGGATGTAGCACTGCTATTGAGCTTATTAAGAAATCTCCCGGGTTACTCTTGCTAACTACTTACAGGCAGCGTGAAGTGCGTCATTCCCTTTGAGCGTTACTCAAAATTAACTTATGTAGAATTTTATATTCGAGCGAAGACGTGAGGTTTGAAGCATTGTTCCCGAGACATGTTTTTTCAGAGGAATAGGTCCTTAGTAGTTAAACCAACCCCGAAGTCGTCTAATCATGAAATTTTCGGATCATCCATTCATCCTTTCACGTAAAAGGAATAATTGAAGATAATTATTTCTTGATTATTCTCGCTGAGAGATTGCTGAGTGTGTAGCGCAAGAAGATGAGGTCTGTCACCACGGCTTTCGACTTCTTTTTTAGTTGTAATTTCCGAATGTTTTGAAAGTTATATTTGAAGACGTAGCCGAGTTTGACAAACATTCAACTGCAATACTGCTCGTGGACTTTCCAAGAAAAAGATTCATTGTGGAGAGAGTTTCGTTGTAGAGAACCCTTATAACATGGGGTTAAAACCCTGTGGTACTGAACAGAAAGTCTTTCTACGAAGAAATTGTAGACAAAAAATCTTTGTAGGAGAATCCACCTGCATCTGTAATTCGGCCTGGCACTGTAGGGAAATAAAAGTAAAATCATGTTTTTTGTGTATTACACTTTTATCGAGCCTACGCGTATATCTACTATTCTAAGTTACCATGGTCCAGCATTCGTCAAAATTTCTTCAGCTGAAATCTATGAGTTTGAAGTTCTGTTTACTTTTTCGAAGCAACGAATCGAAATCTGGACTCAGTACATTCTATATTTTTATTTTGTGAGCATATCCAGCGGTCGTTGTGAAATATTTTACAATTACAGTATATATCAGCATGGTTTTAAATGATTTTCAGAACTGTTCGGACGACATTGTTATCCAGAATGTGTCCAAGGTCGTCGTAGATTGCTGTTGCCTGAAAGCTGGTGGGTATTTTTTTTATATTTCTTCAAAAATTGTAACGGAATCAAATGACGTTATATTTTTCCAATAAGCACAATTCAAAGAGCATGCTCTCACTTGCTTTTATTTCCCGAGATTTTTGTTGGAGACCGAAGGACAGTATGTGTTCTTCGTGGTATTATGTGTTTGAACTGAAGTTCGATCGATCATGTCCATGCTGATGTCCGACGACCTCGTTTATCATTACCCTCATTCTTCATAGCGTCTCAGAACGTGTAATTTTCGCCTTGTTCTTTGTAGGAAATTCTCGCCTTCCAACTATACAAGTTTTGGTAAGCTGGGACATCGTTGGCCTTGTTTATGAATGCCTAGACTTGCTGCGATTGTCCCGGAATGTTTCCGATGGCGTCGCAAGCTGGCTGCATCAATTGATCGTTGAACTGGGACCAAGAGGTTCGTGAATTAGCTTTTTAATTACCGAAAGAGATGAAAAGAAATCTGTTTTGTAGAAATACAGTGGGGTGATTTGCTGTTCCATCCATGGCAGAAAAGTTCGGAAAAATGTTGAGCTTTTTGAAGCCTTTCAGATGTGGCAGGTTAAATATTTACTGATCTATGTCTGACCAGAATCAGTCAATATGACGAGAATGATGAAAAATTCTCGACCATTTGACGAAGGGGTTTTCAGAAATGGAATGCATCCAATCCAATGACCATCTGTAATGCGAGTTGATTTAGGTACAGGCTCACCGGTTTCGAATACTTTTTCTCTCAGAGTGTTTTTTTCTGACATATTTGGGCATCACTGCATTAAATATGATTCAACGATTTTGACGCGCCATAGCATCCAGACATATTATATAGTATTTCGGGGAATCCGGAAAAGTATTCGTCTTCAAGTCAAATAGGGATGACTCAGGGAAAGGGAATTGAATTGATTCCCGTGGTAGAGACGAGTAACCATATTACGTAAAATATGTTTTCTCCCAGTTAATGCTTTTTGAAGCTCAGTATGCGGGGAACTTTTTTGATGGGGGAGGATCAACCAAAATGATCCGTTTACTTAATCTGTTCCTGTTGAAATTTTTGAGTCCCTCGGAAATTTGTTCCGCAATCAAAGTCTTATCAGTTGATTTTCACTTCACCGCAGATCATCAGTTTTCCGCGAAAGCGAAGAAATCCGGAGTGAAATTGTCATGCTTGGTACTGAAGAATGTAATCTTCGAATCGAAAAACTTCGTGCCTATTTTGAAGACGTTCAAGTTGTACAGCCGCGCAGTTGGTGAGTGATGTATCTGTTCTTCGAATAATTAAATTTGTACGAACATTACAAAAATTCTCCGTCGTGTAGCTAATGATTTCAACTGCTGTTTACTTCAGCAGGAATGTTATACGTATCATGGTGTTTTTTCTCTCTTTTGTTCTAATGGTCGTCAGAATGTTCCTGGCGTCTTTTGTCGTCAGGAATAGAGTTCATTTAACGAGATGCGTGTTGAAATGCGTAACATGTGCTGGGTTCTTTTCCGAGTTCGTGGGACGAAAGTTGAAAGCTGGGTGTCCGCAGGCTTTGGCTTCCGCGTTGGAACGATCATAGCTTTTTTTTCCCCGCTTCCTTTCCTTCTGGTACTTCTGAATCTAGCTCGGGAGGAAGTGTTACGAGCTCGTGATGTCGACTCGATGATATTTTTCCTGCTTTGTAGCACTGTATGACTATTGGCATACTGTAGTTGTCTGCCAAATTGTTGATTCAATTGAATGCAATGGTATCTGCAATCAGTAAGGGTATTTAGTGTTTTCCTTGTTGTTGAGTTATATTCTATAGTCGAGTACAGCATTTTACGCTATGCAGCAGTGTTGCCCAACTCAGATGTTGTCAAGGGCCAAATCGATACTTTTTTTTTGGCCAAGGGCCACATTGCAGGGGTGGAGAGGCTTTTTAGGCCACAATACAGTACTTTTTGAGGTTCCTAATTTTCCCCTGTGGAAGGAAATGTTTCAAATTTTATTCATTGCAGTGTATGCATTGAATCACAAGCATATCTTCGTAGAATTTTTTAAAAGTGAAGCTGCACTTGAAAAGTTTAAAAATTATCCTTCCTAAATATTTTTCAAGTATTAGCGACTGCCACTTTAAATTAACGGGAAGGGACCGCAGGACGGATGAAAAGGCTATGCGGGCCGGATGTTGTGCTGCACTTCATACAGTACAGAATTCACAAAATAGGAACGATTTGAGACCTGGTTATTTTTGAAAGCTTGTGGCTACTCCGAAGGGAAATTCGAACTGATATTCATTCCATTTCTTTTGAAGTGTCAATGGTTAGCTGGATTAGAATGAACACTGAGTTATCTATACAAATAGAAAACCCCATGAGAAATTAAGCCACATGCTTGAGCACGCTTGCTTTTCACTGTTGTCGGTTCTCTGATATTTTTTTTTTGCTGATCAGATTCTGATTTTAACGAATGTATGTCTGAGAAGTTAATCTGTGTCTCCCTGATCTGTGATAATGGAAGGTAGACTCTTTCTACAACAGTCTTGTCTGCAACAATATTCACTGTATAACGAATTTGTTTCTGGTTCTCGGGGGTTCTCTCACCATGTTATATAGTTCTCTGCAACGATATCTCTCTATAAAATTTATTTTCTAGTCCCTTGAATTTCGTTGTAGAGAAATTCCATATGTATCCGAATGTTATATTCCACGCAACTGATCACTGCCTAGAATCAGTTGTCTCCATCTTTCGTTTCCTTCGTTATCTTACCTTGGAAGAAATGACTGCTAGCTATTTCTGAAATTCTCCGATGATATCCTGGAAACCCTGCCAACTTTCACAAATTACTGTTTTATAGTTTGAGATAGTGTCTTGCATTTTTATTGTTTTTTTTTTTTTTTTTACTGGGAATGAGGTAATTCATGGAATCACATGCAAAGTTGGAAAGAGCATGTGGTTCATTTTCATGTGAACAGCATTCCCCCCTATTGCACTCTAATCTCCCTGGTGATCATTCTGACGTTGCTAGTGGAAGGAAGTATGAGACAAATGAAAAGGTTATTGAAAAACGAAACCTTTTATTTTCACGGTGGTGCGTCCGTAGAATATCATTGATCAAAATGATTGGTTTGGTTCGCCCCAGAGAAGAAACGTACGGCAAAGAATACTTATCGATTTCATCTTCTGTTACTTCAGGAGGATCTTAGTGATGTACAATTTCAGAACGTTGTTTCAAAATCACTCGACTTGCCGCACTGCGTGAGAATGAAAGTTTAGGCTTCGTGGGCCCAAATCTTGTCCGTTCAAGGTGTAATACAAGCTTTTCTGTCTGATGAACTTGAAAGACAGCACACGCATTTCAATCGAAAATCATTGAAGCAAATTGGACCATTGTCATTTGACGCTACCAAAAAGTATTGAGATTACTTGAGAATCCGTATCAGTTCAAACCATTCTTTAGTGATGATCATGGCTGGACACAGGTATACAAAAGTTAGAACTAACTTAAATCAACCCTTGGCACTGTTCAATCTTCGTGTATGTTTAAAAAAAAAGAGGATTCGTTGTCCTCTGAGCCAGGAATAGATGCCATTGAGGAAAAGGGTTAGTGGATCATTTATCCTATTTCAACTCCGGGGAAATCTCAAGCACTTGTCCCATGAATACTGTTCTACAGTATGTAAATTACCACACCTTTAATCCATTGACGTGCAGCGTGGCAAAATCGTGTGATTTGTGTATAATTTATTACCAGATTGTATTCTCAATATTAATTATTGATAAACAGTTTTCCGGAGTGGAAGATTGGGCTGATCTGTTCCGTCGCTTCAAATTAGATACTGCTTCGTGACGTCAGTTTTAAAACATAGATTGCCAAATTAGCTCGGGATCATATCTCCGAGGTGATCCCCGTCATTTTTAAATTTTTTTTCGATGCATTCAATTTTTTCGTATGTCTCGTCAGGTACTTGTCGCAATGTGCTGAGCAGGGAGCAGGCAGTTACTTTACTCGCGCAAGTCCTTACGTCGGACGGAAAGCGGCCACCGCTTCACATAACCCTGACACTGGAGACTTTGTCCAACATGTGCAAGCAAAGTAAGTTTTTTGTTTGTTTATCAGACCGGAGCACAAGTTCTGTTGACATGTTGACGTCTTAGGATCGCCCTTTGAATGTTTTATTTATAGAAATTTCTCTTGCTAGAGCGCAGAAGGCTATTCACGGTATCGGAAGGTAGTTGACTTGTTCAAGTTTCAAAAATGCGAAATGCGCATCATGTTGAAACATTTTTTTAAAAACGAAATTCCAAGATACACGGTAGTAATTTGGGTTCCTTTTATAGTTTTTAAAGTAGATATTTATAAAATTACCTTACCCCAGAATTATTTTTTGAGCGCTGTGAGCAGTCATGCTCGCGTAGTACGCATAATTTTTTAATTTTTCAAATGTCATTTTCACTCAAAAAACAGGACAGGGCACACATTGAAAGCTTTTATCGTAAAATTGCGAATGCTGATTTAAAGGTATTTTCTTCAAAATGAGCCGGATTTCCCTTACATTTTAACATTGCTTCATTACGCGTACTCTTCTCACTGAGAAAGTGAGAAGCAGCATTTTGTCAAAACCACAGAATTATTTTTTGCCCGAGAAGTGATTACTTCGATTCCGAAGTGGTGTCGAAAACTATTGCTATACGGCTTATTTGATGAATATTTCAAGGAAACACGGGCTTCTAGTGTTTTGTTGTTGTTGCTTATACGTTAATTGTATTAAAGCCTTTTTTTTACCTAATAGAATCGTTCATCTAGAATTTATCTCACTCAAATACTCGACACACAGTGTTTCCAAACGTTCTTTTTTTAAATCAGTCCAACTCCTCTATTTTCCGTTGGTTTCTGAAGAATTCTCGTGAATTCGTTAAACATGAAGTTCTTTGTGTTTTTCATCTCAAAGTTGGCTAGAGTTTCTGTTCCGCGTGCTTTAAAATATTTCTGAAGGAACGGCTAGAACACAACGGAAAGCGGATCGCTAATTTAAAAAAGAAAAAAAGAAGAAGAATTGTTCGCGTCCTCCGGATACTAGGGTGATGAACCTTTGCGATACGCGCGAGGGCCAGGTTCTGGTTTCTTGAAATGCATCTATCCTCGTTCTTTAGACGGAAACTGCTGATGAGCTTCCGTTGATAAGCCTCGGGATTCGTTCTATTTCAGCTCAGCATGAGGGTCTGATGAATATCGCTGAACTTGGAAACTGCTTGATTCTCTAGAAGTTCCTTAGGTTTCCGTTTTGGGTTGGGAATATTGCGTGAATAGAAACAGGTCTCTGAGTGGAGCTGTGATTTCGTGGCGATCAGATTGCGCGGGCTATGAAGCTTCGCGGAATTGTGGAATGGCTAGGGAAGCGCTTTTGGGCTTATAAATAACTTTATGCCCAACTATTTCTATGTCCTGGTTTTTTTTTTGGTCAATTCGAATAGAAAATATGTTACACTCCCCATGATTACGGTTGTCAACTAAATTTCGTGGCTTTTGAAATTCGTTCTCGAGGAATCGTGTATCAAATTTAGGGTCTTTCTCTTTGAGTCGCTCCCGCATTGTTTCTGTTTCAATTTTCTTATCTGTCGATCTACAATAGTTCGCGTTTATATACTGCACTATAGTGTCAGGTTATCTCAAGGAGAAATTAAGATCGGTAAGCTATGCTTGACTTGATTGGCTTTTTACTTGAAATAAGTCTTCGGTTGAGTGTTGGATTAGTCGGATAATTGAGGCTTTAAATTAGCTTGTGTTACGTTAGAGCAGGGTGTTGCTTATTAGTTTACATGAGCAATTATAAGTTTACGTTATATTTCAACTTCAGAGTCAGTTAACGCCCTCGAGGGTTCGATTTTCTTGCATGTTACCCAAGCTGAATTGAGGCAAGACTGTCTTCAGCTAATTAGAGCAGATGCGAGAGCGTTGCCCAAAGAAATATGCGAAGAATTAGTTCCTGTTGCTTTAAAAGGGAAGTACTCGAAGTTTCTAACAATTTTTATTGCAAGTTTTGTTGAAAATTTCTATCGGCTGTGACTTTTCGATTCAATCCTCAGATTGAATGAGACATGTAAGTTAATGTACTATATATGGGCTTTATTGGCTCGACGTTTTTCGAAAGGCGTTTATTTTTAAATTTATCCGAAACTGTTCGGATTATTAATGATCAGGGCCTCTTGCAATATACTGTATTACGAAATCGATATTTTTTCTGTATGAACTCATCGTCAATGCTTTTCCTCACGGAAACCCCTTTGTTGGATTCTATTTTTTCCTCGCGTGGCCCTTCTCAACTTCGCCCACGTGCATCAGTGTCAACAACCGTTACTTATACTTCTTGGCGTTTTTGTGTTCGTAACGCCGTCCGGACTTTGATTTTGTCGTTAAACCTCGCTCATTTGAAACTCAACAGAAGCGTTGTGCCAAGAAGCTGTCAAGTGCGGGGTTGCTTCCACTGCCGTGAAGATATTGCGCTCTTGGCAGTTCGTGGAATTACAGGAACAAATCAAGCTGTGCCGCTCCGCGTTGTCCGTTCTTAATCGTCTCGCATCCTCAGGTGAGCCAGTTCGCGTCAAGTAGCACAGTACGGTATTGGCATCTATCGAATGCTGTAAATCAGTGCTGCCCTATTCAGATGTGTCCAAGGGCCATCTTAACGCATTGTTTTTGTTTTTGGGGCCAAAGGCCTCATTGCGGATGTGGACAGTCCTTGAGGGGCACAATGGACAATTTTTAATGTCTCTTGAATGACAGATGCAAAAATATAAGCCGTTATGCGAGCACTCATCCAACACTACAGCAATTTCAGGGGACTCTCTCTACAACGATCTTGTCCGTGAAGATTCTTCTGTAGAACGAGCTTTTTTTTTGTGTTGTCCCAGAGGGTTCTCTCCTCGTATTATAGGGGTTTCTTTCAAATATACTTTCTCTCCACGATTTTTTTTATGGTTTTACATAATCTCATTATGACGAGCAAAAAGGCTGTTGCATTTTTTCTTCGTCTTTACAGGATTTCTTAGCAAGCATATGAGGACTGAGTATGCATCCCTTGTGTCATTTGCCATTCTATATGATTTTTCTTGTGGAGTGGGAAATCCCAGGAGTTCATTGTCGTTTATTCAACTATTAGTGGGATATTAGTCTACGGCAAATTTATTTCCTAGAAGACTCTAAATTTCCTCCTTGTTTAAATGATAAGTTTCAAATTTAATTTAGCTCTATGTATTGAATCCCGAACATAGCTTCATAGAATTCTTGCAGAGTGAAGCAAGATTTTGAAATTTTAAAATTTAGGTATTTGGATGTACAGTATTTCTGAATAGTGGCTGCTACCACCTCGAAACTTTTGGGGGACGCGTGACAAAAGGAAAGTCTGTGTGGGCCGGAAGTTGGGCAGCCCGGCTTTAAACGGGTGTTTCTGTAGGCATATTCTGTCGTGCTGCTTCATTGATCGACACATGATCGTTCCATTCTGCCGATTTATTCACAGGCATTGGGGCTACACCGATAAAAAGAGCAGGTGGCTTGGATGTCGTAGAGAAGTTCCTTGACACGTGTCCTGCTGAGCCTCCGGTTTATGACCCGTTGCTATCGAAAGCAGCGGAATTGTACCATTACCTGGCAACAAAGAAACCTTTGCCGATTCAGTCTCTTCGAGGTCCTTTTAAATTTGCGGATAAGCAAGCTGTTTTGTCGTACATTGAGGATGGTAAGAACCTTTTCGTTGTCATTTTTAGCCTAATCGAAAATTAATTCAAGTGTAGTATTGCGGGTTGAAATACTTACTGATGATGCAGCTAATGATCATTTGACTGGATACGAATTGTGTTGATCACGTTAGCTACCATGCGAATCTGAACTGTGATGCATTCCATGGCTTATTTTGATTTGGGTGCGTCAAAATAGGGGAAAAAAGCTCGCTGAATTTTTGCGAATATCGTATGGAATATGCCAAAGAGTTCATCTTTTAGTTATTTTTTTAATGTTTTAACTTGTCAATGTATGATCTATTCGCAGTTTCGATGGATTTCCAATCTTTTCCGTAAGGCTTGATTCGTTTCTTTTACATCGCAAATGAACCACCGGAAATTCGTTTTAGATTCCAGATCTAGTGACACAGCGCGTGTGGAGGAATCTTCCTCCGGTTCGGAACTGGATCCTGCTTCGGAAGGAATTGAAACTACTACCCGCAGTGGATCCAACCGTCAGCCATGCTTTCTATTGGTTTCCTCGAGCACTTTTCAAAGAAATAGTCCCGAGATCATGGGGTTTTCGGATTTCTTCGGAGAGATGAGCATCAAGGACTTGCGGTTGGTCGAACCTTTGGCCGCACCGTGGGGTTCCGATGTGATTTCAACGAAGAAGCAGATGATCCTCAAGTTCGTGATTTGTTCTGCAAATAGTCTACAAACGTCATTTTGAGACGTCGTTAAGAGAGTTGATTTTTTTTTTTGTGAGTCAAGCCGCGAGTGGCATTCGATTGAAGAAAAAGCTCTTGCACGTCACCAAAGTCCTATAGGGTGGCCCGAAATATTTCTGACTTATTTTCAAACGGCAATTTTTCAAAACTTGTATAAGCTGAAATACAGTACTTCGCATTAAAATGATTTTTCATCTAATTCAGCCTTTCAATTTTACGGGGTTTGGAATATCGCAGTCGGAAAATACTGCATCGCAACTGTGTATTGACTTATAACTTCGAAAACTTATTGAACATTTTCGTTGATCACATGAATAACTTTTAGTGGTAGCTTTCTATGCAAGAAGCTGAGGTGCCTCTGTGCGTGCGGTTGAAGTCAGCTAATTAATCGCCATTTTAAAAATTCGCTATTGATCCTCCCATTACTTTCGATGAAATTATTGGGTGATAATTCCGTTTATTGTTCAAATCGTTTTTCAGGTTCAGAGAAAAAGCAGGATATACGGTAGACCTTGGAGAAATCAATCTGAAATCTGAGAGGACCCCAGTGAAGCTTTCATCTGCCTCGACGCATCTGCATTTCACAAAAGACGGAAAGGTGACGCCGATTCTCACTCATGCTCCTCAGCGGAAAGCGTCGATTGAGTTGACTGAAAAACCTCCCGCGGAGAGCGTTCCCATAAACGGGGTCCTTACTGCAGAAAGATACGGAGAAGAGGCATCGAAAGTTCGCAGCGTTGTGCCGTTTGTAAAATTCGCATTCCCGGATTTTTGTTCGGACGTTCCGTGTTCGAGGCCTTTGGAGCGACTGTACGATAAAGATCGGACTGTTTGCAGGTACTGTAAAAGCACAATTTCCGAAGAATCCATTCGGAAATACTTTTCCAGTGCATGGTTCAAAAAATAATTCTTGGAAGTGTGGCGATGGAAACGGTTTTGCGCTTAATTACTCATGAAATGATAATATTATGTAAAATTCAAAATTATTCTGGCGAAAAAAATGGTGAACTTTTCGTGTAGCATAGCAAAAAGATTATTCGCCGATAATAGCTCGACTCATTGCTACCGAAATTCCCCAAAATATTCCTATTAGTCGAAAAAATTGATATTATTATTAGTTCATGAGATGAAAGCAAAGCAACTCTGGTTATAATGTTGGGCCACTTCGTTTCATTGCATTTAATACATACATGGAACAATTATTCAAAATGTGGATTGTTCAGTTTACGAATGTGTCAGAATATGATGAACATTTTCTCAACAATAGCAACCAGCATGTAAATAGTAATACTGTAAAGTAATTGATCATTCGTATGCTGAGTTCTCAGGTTTTAAGGAAGGACGGTTTTAGAAAAAATATTCCGAAAACATTTCGTTCTCACCTGCTCTTATGCCGTAAATCCTCGTGTTTCTGGGCCTCGTAAATTGCGAACTTACAGGTTTTCCTTTTTTATTTACGATGGAAAAGCTAACGATGAAATATCTCGCCTGACATGGTTTACGAGGGCTCGCATTGCCTCTTTTATAACGATGGAAAACTGACGTATACATTCCTCCGTTTTATGTTCACGACACAGGGAGAAGCTCGTTACCGTGGTCAAACGGATGTCGGGTGAAATGTGGAAGCCGCAGGTCGTTTATGATTTGGATACGCTGGCGAAAAAGGAATTCAAGGATTTCGACCCTGAGGATTTGACGCCGATTCGAGAACGTCAATTGTCGAATGACGACCTGTCGGTTATTACAAAACTGAACGCCTCAAAAGTTGTTCCGGACAAAAATTCTTTGCTTCAGTTTGAATCCCGGTTTGAATGCGGTAATCTCAGACGAGCCATCCAAGTGAGTGCTTTCTTACTGAAGTTACTGAAGACAGCAGCCCTCGTAGAACGAACTTCGGAAGTAGCGTTATGATTGAACGCAGTTCGGATTCGAAAAAAATGAACCGGAGAGAGACATAATTTTTATGGGTATAGCATTGAAAGTAGCGTCGAACTAAGTATCATTTAAATATTTTCATTTTGAATTTCCAATCCGACCGTGTCGTAGAAAAATCATGAAACAAAGGTTTCACAAGTTTCTGAATGGATTTGTGTTTCCGGACAGAACTTTTTTCGAGTTTTGTGTTTGGGTTTTCTAAATTTGAAACGTCTAGTTTAAAAAATGAAAATAAAATTTTTAATAGGGGTATGTTTGTACTACTCCAAGGATGATCAATGTCTCGCGTGGGAATCTCTCCATGTATCAAATAATCGAACGCGGGTATTGAGAATTTCCATGTTGCCAAAATGTAATGGAATGTTTAATTGATACAATCGCTCTTTTCATGATGGTTTTTTTTTCCTGGTTTTTTTTACAGGTTGGACCGCGGGAATATGACCTGTTCGTGAGTCCTGATCTGGGAACAAGTGACCACCATATGTGGTTTTATTTCCAAGTTTCTGGGATGCTGCCGAATGTGTCGTACACGTTCAACATTGCGAGCTGCAAAAAATCCAACTGTCAATTCAATTTTGGTAATTTTCGTGATCTTCTAGTTAACGTCATGCTGCGTTTTACATGGCGTCGTTCAATAGCCAGAGGGTTTCACGTTGTGAAAAAATTACTTTCCCGTTCTAATTCAACTGAAGAGATGTAATAAAAGCATCATGAGTAACATTTTCGTCGTTCTGACGGGAACGAAGACTGTTGTAATCCCGGAAGCACCGACCTTTTAGTGCTCCTCAGTTACAGATCACTGGTATCCTTATTTGAAGAAATCCAAAAATATTTCCAAAAGTTAATTATTATACACTAATTTAAATTTTAAGTTTGCCTTAATCCATGGCTATTTAGATCCTGGTCGGTAAAACCAAAGACGATTCTAATCCGTGAAGCACCGATGTTCTTGACAACTAGTGCTCCTCAGTAATAAAAATATCGGACCCCTGGTATCCTTATTCGAAGAGATTTAAAAACATCTCGTACAAGTTATTTGTGACGATTAAAATTTTAATTTTACTTTAATTCATGACTATTCCGATTTTTGTTGGTTTTCGTATAGGAATGAAGCCCGTCTTGTTTTCTGTCGCCGAGCACGTCGCTGGAACGAAATCTGGCAGCGGATACGTTTGGGAACGAGTAGGTACGAACATCTGCTACTTCACAAACCAGTACGCGGATACAGGAAAGAAAAACAGCGGCGACTCCGTATCCGGTTTCAGGTCGGCGTCTTTCACAGTTACCTTCAAGCACGCCAACGACATCTGCTACATTGCTTATCACTATCCTTACACGTACACTGCCTTGAGAGTGAGCCCGAAATGCTTTTTTCGATGCAAGTCCTTCCGTTCAAAAGCGTTTATTTTCTTTTTTTTTTTAACTTTTTGTAGTGCCATCTAGAAATGTGGAAAGAGAAGGCGAGTCAGAGTCCTGGTGTATATATCTCGCGCCAGATTTTATGCAAATCCGAAGCAGGGAATCCTGTGCCTTTGCTCACCATCACCGATTTGGAGAAAAGTGATGTAAGTAATTGAAGATTTTTTCATATTTAAGACCTTATTATTTTTTCATCATTTTAGAAGCGGCAGTATTGCGTTTTAACTGCCAGGGTGCATCCAAGCGAAGCGAATTCCAGTTGGCTGATGAAAGGTGTTGTGGACTACTTGCTCAGTGACACTCCCGTTGCAAAGGCTCTGAGGAAGGGCTACGTTTTCAAAATCATCCCCATGCTCAATATTGATGGAGTAGTTAATGGAAAGTGAGTTCAAATTATTTGTGCTCTGTTATTTCTTGGATGTTTTGGGGATGATCGAGTTTGGTGTCGTTCTTACTAATTGAGAATATTCTGTTTGAATGAAGAACACCCGAGTTTTGGGTGAAAATTTATAATCAGAATCGCATTAATTCAAAAGATGAATGTACTGTAATTCGTGTAACGTATTCACGTGGGTGTGTAGAACTTGCCATGATTTTGATAAATAATTAAAAAGGAAAACTTGATGACCCAAAACATTCTTACAGCAATGTTTGGGAAAAAGGTATACAGTACATCGTTTTTTGTTCTTTGAAGAGTTCTAAAGATTAAACTTATAACTGCAGTATCTTAGACACGAATTTTTATACGGTTAAACTCTCTCTCTCTCTACAACGATTTTGTCTACAACATTTTTCTTTGCATGATGAATTATTTTTGGAGCAAATGGGCTCTGTAGAATGAAATTCTCTCTGCAAAAAAATGTTTATGGTCCCCTGAATTTCGTTATAGAAAGAGTCTAATTGTATTCGTTGAATGCAGGAATAATTTTCCCCTCAAAATTCTGATCATAAATTCCTGTCAATTTTAGTGGAAGATGTTCGCTTTATGGCGAAGATTTGAATCGGCGCTGGAAATCGCCGGACCCTACTCTTCATCCATCGATTTATGCTGCGAAGGGTCTGCTGGCGTACCTGACTCATCAAACAACAATGCCTCCGTTCCTTTTCTGTGATTATCACGGACACGCACGTTACAAGAATATATTCATTTATGGCTGCAGTCCGACGCTGTCTTGGAATAAATCCGACGTGAATACCATGGCACGTGATTCGCTGGAATACCAGGTAAATTATTTGTTCATGATATTTTTCTTTCAACTGACAGTATTTTTTTTTCGAACCGTTGATGTTCATCGAAAAAAGCCATGCAATTGATTTCAACACCTCTTACGTCGAGCGTCCCGAAAACTGGTGCGCAGTGAGACATTTTAAACCATGCGCGTCGTCCAATTTTGAAAATCGCGCTGGTGGTTCTGGTAGATATAACTGAAGGTGTCTATTGCGTTTTCATCTTCACGTAGTCAACCGAATATTGAAAATATTTTCATGTATAGACCTTTTTTCATGAACGTACCAGTGCGTTTCTCGGAATGTTTAAGAATTATCTTCTCGACTAGTGTAACTTTTCGGATACTCAGTTCCGTATCGTTGAATCAGTCATGGCAATGCATGTTGTCACTTTTGTTTTTCGAAATTTTTAAGCGTAAAGTGAAATGTGTCTGAATCGTGAGTACTGTACACCCGTCATGAAGCTTACTGGACACTTTCTGTTGGCGAATTTTCGGAGTTGTTCATTTCTTTACTTTGTAGCATACGAAGGGTTTATACTTCAGAAAACTTCAGAGTTAAGTAAAGTATCTTGACACTTTCCATAGGGATTTCCTCTGGCCATGCAACACTTGTGCCCGTCCTTCTCCTTGGAAAAGTGTGATTTTACTGTGGCTCGTGATCGAGAAGCTACAGCTCGTGTCACCGTTTGGCGTGAATTCAACATTCCTCGTTCGTACACATTGGAGTCCACGTATTGCGGCTGTGCGGAAGGTCCTTACAGGGTAAGTTTGCCTAAACAAAACAAAATATCGCTTATGTCGCCTTGTATTTCCAGCATGTCGACTTCCCCACCGTAGAAACATGCGTGTTTTTGTAGGTTGCTGTGGTAGTTACCGAAAATCAGACAGATGTTTCTTTCCGGTGTGCGTGTATAGGGTTACCACATCGGGATCAGGGAGCTGAAAGAGTCTGGTGCGAAGTTTTGCGAGGCAATTTACTGCTTGGACGACAAGGGAAAACCTCGGCTGCATTTGCGGCCGGGCGTCGACCGCCGATTGCCGGCCATCCAGCAGTAAGACGCAGTCCATGTCCCGATTTATTTTTCCTATTCCGTTGTTCAGTTCCTCAAAAATGCACGACCTGTTTTTTTCCCTGTTCAAACGGTCCCAAAAAATATAGTTCGATTGCTCCTTGTGATTAATCATGAAAAAACCCTTGCCACAGTCGATTTTTTATTTTCGAATGTAGTTGGACAGTTTTTCTTCGTTGGGGCATGGTACCGAGGATTTAATATTGGAAGTGCAAAAAGTAATCCTAAAAAATTCTTTATTTTGTATTACGGACCTCTGAATGAAAAGAAAGTTCAGGTTGTGCATTTCCCCCCTCCCCTTGTATCCCTGGGTTTCATGGTTTTATTTTTCTGTTACATACGCTTCCTGCTTTGCGCCCGTCCGCCCTGTGCTTCATTACGCTTTCTTTTTCTTCCAAACCCTTTGAATCTTGCGTCCTGTGAACAGAACCTATTTCAAAAGCATCTTCAAAATCTCGAACATTTTAACTTGGTAGCTGCGAAGTGCAAGAATATGTGTAGTTTAAGTCTCCTCGAAGTATTACAGTATTTTTTTTGGAATGTTGCGCTCTGTAAATAAGTATTAGAATGCTATCCTATATTGGTGCTGCTCTAAGACGTGATCAATCGCTATGAGTTTTTTTCCTTTTCTTTAGTTTCCTAACAGTTGAAATATGACCATTAAGCCGTCGCCAAAGTTAGACTATCTCTACCTGTACAGATCATGCTAAAAATTGGGTGAAATGAGGCCTGGCGAACAGCTTGCAAGTCATGTAAATGCGCGCATCTTTCAGTTATCGAGCTCTTACAGTTTTCGTGACTCAGCACACGAAAACGTCTTTTTCTGAGGTTTTTTTAGCATTTATATTTGAAATATTCTTCAGAATTTGTGCCGACTATTCTATCTATACTGAAATCATGATATTCGACATTGGTTGAAGGACAGCTGAGCTGAAAGAAATGCGTTTTACTTTTTCAGTCCGACAGCTTCAAAGGCACTACTTTTCTCGGTTCACTCTGCATAACAGAACCATATCCAATGGCTAGCGTACGGTGATGTAGAGGAAAAAATTTGTAGTTGTCGATACTCAGTGGGAATGTATTCGTTATGCTTTATCCTCATGTTTTTCTCTTTGATATCTTTACCACAATCATTAAAATACTGCTGGAATCTTTACTTGGAATTATAGCTCGTCAAACCCTGATTTTGATCAAGTACTAGAGTGAAAACTAGACGCATTTCGTAATTGATGGTCACAACTCTCCAGTGGCGGTCAGTTACGTACTAGAACAGCGCCACTATTTTATACAGTACTCTTGTTTATGTTTGGGGCAGATCCTTAAACATGAGATTTATTTCAGAAGTTGTTGCTAGCTTCCATTTCTTGTTGAAAACTTGGATCAGTTTGAATAGAAAGTCGCCCATTTTATCCCGCGGATTTTCCCCGGTCGAGGTGAAGACCAAGAGCGGTTCTTGCGAAGATACACCTATCCTTCACTTGTGAATAACTAATGGGGGTTTTCCTGGTCTTGTTTTACCTTAATCCCCGAGCTAAGCGGTGTTCTTCGTTTGCCTACTAGGCGCAAGCGTATTCCGAGTGTGAAAGCTTACCATGGACCGGGAAAGGCTGGAACGGTACGTCCCTTACTCGCACACTACCATGACGGTATCTTGCGTCTTCGGATCGTTTCTCTGTCCCTTTCTTAACATCCCCTCTAACGCCGTAACTCCTCACTCCTCAGGCGTCTCGTGTCCTTGTACAGATGACTATGTGCGTATGCAACAGAAAGCTTGCAGTGCAGTAGATTTAGGGAGATGCGTGTATGGGTGGAAGTTATTCAACGAGAATAGAAAAGTTCGGATTAATATTTGAATTCCGTCGTGAATTGAGTGAAAGTGTCGTTCAGATCGTGGTCGCGAGAAGTGCGAGAATGTCTTGGGCTTTTCTTGAGATAGCGAAGCATTTTCGTGCATGAAGCTAAGCATTTAAAAATTATTGTTTGAACGTCGAAAGATAATTTCAGAGGTTTCCTTTGTGTTCGGAAAACTATGCTTATTGTGCTTTAATAATGTCATCCACGATTTAATGTGCCTCATTGTGGTGTCAGCTATTTGTTTGAATTTTCCACATTACAAAATAAAACATCTTTGTTCTCATTCCAGAGAGGCTCTTCGCTGATGACTATGAACTTTATGCATGCTTGATTACATGTAGTTGAATTCGATCAATTTTCGGCTTCAGCGTCCATGATTTTGGGAGCTGAGTTATGTTATGGATTTCGAAAGCAGCTGTGATGAATATCGAGATTTTGCTTCAATGAAGATTCGCTCTTTAAATTTAAATTAAATGCGCCAATGCAATTTTAGTGATTAGTATATCTTGAAAGCGTGGGACGAATGATTCGAGAGATTTGACAAAACCGAAAAAAATGTGCAGGGAGAACGGACCTGAATGCGTCTGGGAAGAACTGGCGTCTCCAATCGACATCGGAAGCTCTTCGTCTTCGGCATCGTCTGATTCAGAAAGTTCAGAAGCGGAAGATGGGGCCTAACTTCTAACTCGACAAACTGCTCATTTCATCGCACCGTTGTGAAACTCAAATTTGTGCTTATTTCAACTCTTCCTAAGTATTTCTTAAATTTGCGGTTTCACTTGACAAAAAAACAACCACCTAATTGGATGTGGTGAACCCTGTGTTCATAATTGCTGATCGCTTTTGGCATTGATTCATAATTACCGTTTTTGAATTTTAATCCGGAGTAGAATAAAACGGGTTTCGCAATGGTGGTGGTTTATTTTTTATCGTGCATTATTTTCCAATGTTCGTTCATGAGTTAAAATAGCTAATATTTGTTTTTCTCTTAAGATCTAATCTTGATCTTAGTTTTCGGATTCCTTGTCCAGTAATTCATCTGTTCGTTATATGAATGATAACTTCTGACTTGTTCGTGGGTGCTATTGCGGTAGGTTTCTGAGTAGGTTTCTCTGCCAAATTGAGGATTTTTCATAGGATACCTAACATTCTTGATTGTTTCCCGTATTTCTTTATAACTGTTGATCACTGTACTTCATTATTTTTACTGTGCGTGTAAAAGGAGCTTTTGATGGTTCGTGAGGTCAGTCTAAAAACTACCAAAGGTATTTAAGGATTTGTGTTTCCGTCTCATGTACTGAGTCTTTTATCCCTTTCATCCTCAGTTTTATCATTCGACGCGTTTCAGGAAGATCATTTCTTCGAATTATCGTGCTGTGTCTTTCACTGATTTGCCGCGAGTTAATGAATTGGGTTCTTTACTGGATGTAAAGTTGATAATTCTGGCCGCCTACCGCAAAAATGCCGCACTATATTTACGTGGATCCCTTTCCCTTGTTAAGGAGATTCATATGCCTTTTTTCATTGATCTGTAGCATGTCTGCCGCGTAGTTTTTCAGTTTTGATTCCAACCTTTTCAGAATTTTACGTAGGTTGACTATTCTGAATTGCAGCTGTGATATTTTTCGACATGAAGGTGATCGTCACAGGTGAGTCATGTTCCGTCAACAAACCTTTCGGAAGAGTGACATTTACCTCCTCCTACAGGTGCATCGGGTTGCCTTGGTCAATATCTCGTTAAACTGCTCATCGAAAATGCTGACGAAGTGAAGGAAATAGTGGCTGTTGATGCCCGGAAGTTTTGTCCAACGATCCGTGAGAAAAATATATTTTATAACAGACTTTTACCTACCGGAAAGAATCAACGGTCTTATGTGTGAACAGAAATGAATTTGGATTTGAAGAAATTCTTGTTCGTGGAATGTGATATCCGAGAAGTTTCGAAAATGGAGCCGCTGTTCAAAGGCGTTGACTGCGTTTTCCACACGGCTGCTCTTGTCAGCATCGGTCACTTTCCCGATCGTGCTGGAATGAAGGATATTAATGAGAATGGTTGGTTTCTCATTTTAATGACGTGACCTGGTAATCTTTTGTTCAGGCAATTTTGAAGACCGAAGAATCCAACATTCTTACCGAAAAATCCATTTAAGAAACTTGAGAATCGAGTTTCGTCGCGAGGTTCTCCAAATACTCGGACTTTTCTGTGAAAATCGCTAAAATAGCGAAATCAATCCGAGGTTTGCGAAAAAAAATTTTCATGTGATAAAAATAATCGTTTTGTCTTCCAGCAGTTGATGATTTAGAATTTTAGAGCGTTTTAAATTTTATGACGTGAAAATTTGCGCATGTTTTCCATTTCTAATGCTCGGTAGTCGGATGCGGGGCCCGGGGCTGGATTCTTGAACAGAATTTCTTCCTAGGATCGTCTAATAATAATTTTCGAACATGATAATTAAATGCGTTAACTTCGGTCTCAGTGACAGATTGAAAAGCTGTTCCAACTTTCCTCTCAACTTAATTATTTATTTGCTAATATATATATTTATATATAAAACAGGGAAGCTTTCAATTTCACGGTACTCCTACGATAATGCATCCAACGATCCGTGTGATCGCTGCATGCCTCGTGCATCCATTTCGGTTTGACTATAATTAAACTGTATAATTGTACGACAAAAAAGCCAAAACTTAGTAAAAGCCCTTGATGCGTGATTTTTCGCGATAAACGGAAAGTGCAGAATTTTAAGAAATAACCGCTATGGAAATAAAGTTCAGCACTGTTGTTAAAATATAACTTGTTTCCCTTGTAGGACCAGTTCTTGAATAAATTGGCATATTTTCTTGAATTGCTGCATAAGGCACTCGCATTGTTGTGGAGCTGAGCCGTAGATTCAACGTTCCATACCTCGTGTACACGTCAACTGCGGACGTGATGATGGGAAGAAAGGGCAATCTAGTGAATGCGACGGAAGCGTTGGTGTTGCCGCCGCCGGATCTGAAATTCATGATCCACCCTTACGCTTTGACCAAATTCATGGCCGAGAACATCGCACTTTCAGCCGACGGACTTACTTTGAATGACGGTGAGTATCAGTTGTGATTAAATACTCGATTTTGTATATGCAGGTGGTCTCTTTCTACAACGAAATTCAAGGGGCCAGATACAATTTCGTCGTAGAGAGCCCATGTATGATTGAAAAAGATCCCAAAGGGATCTTTTTCAATCATACATAAAATAAATGAATGAAACGAAAAACAAAAAAGAACGTTACACGCAGAAAATCGTCCACTTTATTCTTCTATGAAGATTTTTTTCGTTTTGAAGATATTATGCAATGTTCGGAAAATCAAAACATGTGTTACTCATACACTTGATTGAACATTTCTTGTAGTGTTCCAGCGAGGATTATTCTAGTGATGAACTTATGATGCATTTTATGAATTTGAAAGGGTGTGTGCATCAAGAATATATGGAGTGATGAGATGTCGGGAACTCCATTGGTTCAGTATTGGTTGAGATCAGCAAAATTGTTCCGCACTTGTTCTATTTCATCTTTTTCCTGATCATGAAATACAGTACTGTACAATATTCAGATCGTAGTGCCTGTGAAATAAGTATTAGTGATCGCGGCTGGGGCTTAATTTTTGAAGAATTTTTTATTCTAAAGGAATAAGCGCCCTTTATTTTTTTTTGAATTCAAAATTTCCCTTTGCTTGTCTGCTGATCATTGTGTTCGGGAAATGAATTTCAGTGATCTCGCCTGGAGCTTAATTTTCGAAGAATCCTATAGAATGCGCTGTTTATTCTATAGAAACTTGCTTCCTATTTTTTGAAATTAAAAATTCACTGTGTTCTGGTTAGGGAAGAGAGTCCTTCGCACGCTTTCGTTGCGTCCAGCAACCTTGTACGGTGAAGGAGATCGACATTTCGTCGTGAACACCATGCTACAAGCCAAGGCTAGTGGTGGAGTCCTGAACAGAATGGGACCATCTTCGGCGAAATTCGCTGCTGTCTACGTTGGTGAGTCTCGCTGATTCCTTTTTGGAGTGTCGACAAAGATAAACGGGATCATTCTCCGTACTTATTGTGCGAATTTCATCTGCGGAAGTGTCGAGTCCGCACCTTGGAAGTGAACCGGACACAAAAGCAGAAGAAAATAGCACGAGGACAGAAAACGATGCTCGTATTGAATCAAAAAGTTACCCATTTACCTTTTTGTGTTGTGATCTCTCATGAGGATACAGTATTTATAGACACCTTTTCATTCATACAGTATTTGTAAGAAAATTTGTTTTGCGTTGCGCTCAGTGCTGTAATTTTTTATTTATTTACTTTTAACCTTGGGATGTACAGCTGATTTTATTGTCTTTTCTACTAGAATGAAGGCATTGCAGCGATAAAAAAGGTTTGAACAGATGAAGTTGCATCCGGTCACCCTTCGAAGCGATGTTCCCGATGCTCTTTTCGATTACCGGCGAACTCGCGATCGTGTTGACTAACTGATTTTTTTTTTTTTATCTTGTGCTTCTATAAATAGGGATGTAAAAATAATGACCGAGTTCTGCGTAGAAAGATATTTTATCTGCGAAAAAAAATGCAGTAAACCTCATTCAATTGATGCTTCCATCTGACTTTTGAAGCGCTCGGGTCGTCTTCGACGCTCCCCTGAGTTTCTTAGATTTTCTAGAGTTTTTATAACGCGTTTTGAATTTATGCGAACGAGCAATAATCTTCACTTTTCATTGATACGTCTACAGGTGTAACTTTCTGGCTCTATTTGCCGATTTGTCCACAGAAATCGTTCGCGTGAGGATTATAAAAAATTCGGGAGACATTTATTTCGTTAGGTTAGTCTCGATTTGGGTACTGGGCATGATTGGTTGCGACTTTGGCACTGAGTCAGCTTGTGTTGGAAATTATTTAGCGTTAGTTGTATTGTAATGGGTTAGCGGGAGTTTTTCGTGGGATGGTTAGTTTGAACTGGTTTCATTATTTTATTTTTCGATCGAGGTATTGTATTAATGGATTTGCCGAATGTTTTAGGCATTGAGGAATGGAGTTTCTTCAAAGTTGTACTGTGGTACGTTAGTTGGGGGCTAGGGATTTTAAAACATTTTGGTTTCATTTTTATGCCTCGAAGTTTAAAGTTTTGTTAAAGTTTAATTCCTTTTGAGTACTGGAGTGATGATGAAAAGTACCGTGGTTGAGGATAGGCAGCGAGGTATAATTCCACATTTAATGGTTTAATTTAAATCCTGGTTAGAAATCCTGTCTTCATCAGATGTTATGTTGGGTTACGTGCATCAGTGGCGGTGGGCAGCCCTGAGCACTTGCCCAATGAAGGACAGCATTCGTTTCACTGCCTCTGTTTTCCTGACCTAGGAATTGCAGATCAGTTTCGTAAATGTTCGTTTATTCTTTTTAAGGAAATGCGGCGTGGGCGCACATAGTTGCGATGCGTGCCCTGATGCAGCGTCCGGGCGAGGTCGCCGGAGAAGCATACGTCATCACGGACGACACTAAACCGCAGAACATCTTCGATTTCCTGACCCCGTTTTACACTGCCCGAGGCTTCACTGTGTCGGATCGATCCGTGCCCTATTGCATTGTGATACTGTTTGCCTTCGTATTTCAATGCTTTGTTTGGCTATTGAGTTGGGTGTGGAAATGGAAATCGGCTCCCATCCCGCCTGTGAACGAGTTGCGATATTGCGGACACACGTACACGTTCAATATCTCGAAGGCTCGGGAACGATTGGGGTATGCACCCTTGTTTAGTTTTGATGACGGGCTGAGGAATTCCATCCAGTTCTATTCAGATGTGAAGATCTGAATTGAATGAGAAAAGGTCAGACGTCTACGGGTTGGTGCGGGCTTTGCTCAATCAAACTATCCGTCTTTTTTGTTTTTGTCTTTCTTTCTGGAAATCCCAAAAATGGCTATCTGGTGAGGAATGACGTTGTGGATCGTTGAACAGTGTATTTTATGAGCACTTTGCCTTGTCATACAGTATTTTGGTGTTGATTATTTCGTTATCTTGAGGCTAAATTTTGACTGCAGTTTTTTTTTAGAGGGTCACACGATGGGTGCGATTGTTTATTTATTTCGAAAAAAATTTGGTTGTGATGATGAGCACAAAGCGCAGACTGGGAAAATTCTAAGGTTCTAAATTTCGAGTTCCCTGTTTTGAGGGGTTGGATTTTATGTCTTGTCACGTGATCAAGTACACGAAATTCTTCTGACGTCAAATGCAAGCATGATTCATTGAAATGTCCGAATTGCTGGTTCATGCTGTATTTACGTGAATTCTGGTTATGCGGAACTTATTTCTTCTTCCTTTTTCGAAAATTTTATCCATTTTCCGAAAAAAATATTCTTTCTAGCTGTTGCCCAATTAATTTCACATCAACCTTGAAATTGTGTTAACACGGAGGATCGTGTGTTTAAATGGATTACAGAGCAGCGCTGTCACGAAACATCGTCTGCCACAAGATAAGTGCAGAACAGCCATCTTTTCGAAGAATTTTTTTAATGTCAGGCAGAAAAAATGCTCTTCGGAAACGTATGCTGAACCTTAGCAAGTAGTTTAATTTGGAGAGGTTTTCGTATTGGTTATACTCCATCATGCATGGTTTTGCTCAATACTGTATCATTTTTAACAAAGAATTGCAAATGACACAACTGTGTGCAGCAGAATTCCACTTACAGGATACCCTTGTTCGAACAATGAACAGCTGCTCGGCATTAACTAACATCGCAAATTCACCTTTTCAAAATAAAAATAAAAACTGATGAAATTGAGTTGGCAAATTCATGAAATTAAGAAGCTATTTTGGAGAGGACACGGTGCTTGAAATGATTGTAAATGAAACAATTAATTTCATGCAGCAATTAAACTAGTGCAGTATTCGTTGCAATTTTGAAGTGCGTAAATCCAGATGATCAGTAACTGCATCATACACGATCAAGTATACGATAGGAAAATATTGTGCGCTGTATTAAACAAATTCAAGGATCAAAACGATTCAATATACTGTAATCAGGTTTTCAATAAAAACTGATCTGCAACTCGAAATCAGAATAAATTACTGTAATCCGTCCCACTTCAAAATGCATCACACACAGCCTCTCTTCTCCTTTAATTAATTGAGACCTTGTAGCGTTATCAAAATCGGGTCACATCAAAAAGTACTTTCCACTGGATTCATTCAACAATTTAAATTTCTGTTCAGAGCGCCTATTTTTCTTGAATTCCTATCTATTGTGTAATTTTTATTTGCTGGACACCAGCTGAATTGTAATACTCATAACTGTCCTGGAACATCCCTAACTTTCATCGCGTTTTTGCGGCAAATTCTTTGTGTTTGTTTGTCGATTTTCAGTACCCCTGTTGTCCTAATTTTTGAAAATGATTTGTTTTGTGTAAAAATCTTGATATGGAATCGCTCAAATTTAAGTGAGTCACCATACTTACTGAAGTACCACGTGCACCTTTTTTCTCAAAAGTGAAAGACAGGGATGTGCTTTTTATAGGTGGGGTTAAATTTTTTACATTAAAAATGTTTATTATAGAAATTTAGATGCTGATAATACGTTATTCTCACATAAAAATGTGGACCTATTTCAACAGAAAAACTTATTGTACTGATGGAAACACTTGAAAATTAGCTGAATTATGGTTCAATTCATGTCTAAATTAAAATTGTGTTGATCTTTGTTTGAAATACTGCAGATTTAGAGTCACTATAGATGGGACGATGTGTCTTTCTTAGTCATGGATTTTATGAGAATTTTAAACTGGAAAAACCCTAGTGAGCGTCTTGTTTGAGGGTGCTAGGTACTCCAGTGAATAGGTAATTCCAAATCTGGTGTTAACTAACACCAATCATGCACTTCACCTGAAAACTGTAGATGCCAATTCTGTAACATGTAAGACCCTATATCAAAGGTTGAACCAACCAATATGGTACCAAACCCGTTTTAGGCCCACAGACTGGCAAATTTCTGTAAAACATTTTGTGGACCAGCAAATTTCCATAAATTGTTTTCAGACTGGCAAAGTTTCATTAAACTTTTGCAGACCAGCGGAAATTTTTGATACCGTACCTGCCATCAACTCCAACCAAAAATTTTATTGCAAAATTCAAGTTAAGAACCAATGAAGCAGCACTCTAGCAGAATGTTGTTAGAAATTATCAATCTGTGCTTTAAGAGGGGTTTCTCAGGATGAAAACTTGAAATGATTTTTTTTTTAGTGGGTGAAAATTTGTCTGAAGTGTATTGTAATTAGGAGAAAAGCCAACTTTTACTTTTCACCACATGATTTCAACAGCCAATGTCTGTCCAAAATTTCAGATAAGGATAGCAAACGTAATTACTGTACCACCTTTGATAAATTTGTTATGCTGAAGAAAATTGGCAAACAATTTCTGCAGACCAGCGCCGGTCCATGTACCATGGGTTGCAGGTCACTGGAATAACCTACGCATCCTGACTTTTTTAAAGCCAATTTTCAGCAAAACAAGTGAGACCATCTATTCCAGTAAATAACGAATACAGTCTATATGGATACCGTAATCATTTGGGCGTTGACGCGGGTCAGACATATACAGCTCATGCACACGCGCATCCACAACTTCAGTGTTGCGTGCGGGATATAATGTAGAATATATATAAACAGTAACGAAAAGAAGAAGAAAAAAAGGATTCAATTAAAGCCTTGTCTGCTGCCTACTCATCCCTGCTCTCCATGGATGCCAACGTCAAAGGAAGAGCCGCGTGGAATGAAGATCACGGCAACAAAGGAACCGCGTGTGAGGCTGTAATATTCTAGGCGACAACGAACAAATGACGAACGACTCACGCATATATAGACAATATGGTAGGAAAATAGAAGTGCATAATGAGACAATGCGCAAACAAATGAGAGCAACGCACTGTGAAAAAAGAAAGAGAGAAAATCGAGCAACAGCGAAACAAAAACAAGAAGAGAGAAAATTGAGCAGCATAGTGAACGTAGCATCATTAAGTCTGCTGTCGGGGCGATAGAGTGACTTCTCCCCCCCTGCCATCTTATACCTCTCCCTTGTAGTCAGGTTGCGTAAACAAGAAGACGAATACGAGAAACCATATGGCTGTCGGAGTCTAGCGGTGACAGCTGCGTCGAGAAGGGAAGAATAAGGGACTTCTTCAGAAAATCTTTCCTTTTTTGCATGTATGGTGTGGGTTGAGTGGGGGAGGGGTGGACCTTATTCCCATCGCAAATGAAATCCGCAGAAATTTCCTGGGGAAGTCAATAACCACCATACTCGGGACAGAAGAGACTCATCATGGAACAAAAAATGGCACAGAAATGAACTGACTAAAATCTTGTTACAACAAAGCCATTATATCAGATGTAGAAAAAATATGTTATGCAGCAAGGAAATTTTAAAATTAGTGAGGTCTATATTACAGTAAATCTGTATAATGAATGAACTAACAGAACACTTTATTTGCCACTTTTCAGCGTTCACAAGGTTCGATCAAGATTTCCACAGCCAAACCCCCTTCCCACCCAACCCAAATCCACTTATTGACATTTTAATCACTTCAGAGCATGAAAGCACAAATTGATAACAAAAATAAAATAAAATACAATACAACATGAAATACAACTGGACATCTGACATGTTTGCATACACCCATTCATTCCCTGACATTGGCAACAAAATATATGTAAAAATTAATTCATAGCACAAGGTCTTCAGCTTGTTTCTGTATGAGGTTTAGTTGAATGAACAAATTACAGAGAATCTTTGATGAGAAATCATATAAAGCCAACAGTTTATCTTGATCCTTTAAGATTTCAGAAAGGGCCTCTTCATCGAATTCCAGTACTTGTAAATCTATCTTAAGCTTGTTTCTATCAGTACAAAATGCTTGACATAAGAAGACATGATAAATCTGTAAATACAATATTGCTCTTGAGGGAACTTTGAAATGAACTAAAAAAATATACACATGGTTTTTTTTTAGTTTAGTCCAATTGACTTCGAATGAAGACTGCAACAACTGGATATTATATAATCACTATTCAGAAAATGACCGCTTTTCAGCAAAGACAGCTCAGGCAATATTTGCTAAGACAACTTTCTCAATATTTGAAAACACGATATTTACTCAATATTTTAGTGGAATTTCCCTATGATTATTGAACAAGACAGCAGGCAAAATTCGGAACTATGCAGTTGATCTTGGAGAAAATTCAGCCTACCATACCTCTGTATACCCCGAGTATTGTAGTTGATATGAAAGGAAGCGACTCTATATTCTATTCTGTTTTTTTCAAACAAGGTTTCCACATTTCGATGGTCCAGGGTCATATTCGGTTATGTTGTACCGCGGTAGTATACTGTACTTGCATCATAATGCCGTACGCATTGAAAGGATCAAAGGGCGTGCCGGATGATCCAGCGATTCTCCGGAAGCGGAAATCACAGCTTAAATCGCAGAACTTGGCGCGACTGCGCTCGATTTGTCACTTCGTATTGGAGTACAATATTTGAAAAATTCCAGGAAATATTTTGCTTTATGGGTCGACCTGTAACTCCTCTTCAGCGATCATCGAAGCCCATTCCGGTCATTATAACGCAGAAAACTCGTTTTTTACTGTTCCATCATTTGAAGGATTTGTAAGTTTTTGACGCATATTCGGACGATTCAACGAACTACGCATCACTTCAAAGAATGCAGCGGCAATTTTGGACATTTTTAATTCTGTAGGTTCCCCCGCCCCCCCCCCCCGTCAAATCTGCTCATCCATGCAGCACACGCACAGGCGGACACGAGATGGCGCCACTGACACAGCTCATGCACAGCATTAAGCAGCTGGCGTGATTTGCTTGTATATTAGTTATTATTGAACATGGATGAGTCAAACTTCTCTGTTGAAAACCTCCCTATGCCAATTTTTTCTGAAGTCCCTGTCTAAATTTCCTTATTTGAAAAAAATTATTAAAAACTCGAATTTCCGTAGGGCTTTTTGGCTATTATTTAATTGAGAATTGTTACAGGAAAGATAAAATCAATGAATGTGTAACTTACGTTGTGCTTTCAAAAAAATTGAAATTGGTCTAACAAACCCTTGCCTCAAAGTTCAGTACAGTATTCTGTATAAACTCATTTGAAAAGCAACTAAAGGCCCAGAATATCTCCAACTACAATTCTGTAATTCTCTTTTTTTTTTTAATTCTCATTTCTTTCCCCCTACAAAAACGCTCATTTCCCTAATTATCAT